TTAAGGGAGTGCTGGCATTGTCAAAGAAGAAGAAAGGAGAAGAGAAGAAGAAAAATAGAGAAAAAAAGAGGTAGAATCCAATTTATGGATTTTGTGTTTAGCAACAATTTTCGATCCGTCGTTAAATACAAAAATCCCATTTTTTATAAAAAAATTGGTTTTCCTTTCGAGTGTAATTAATAAGACCGTCACTAAAGCATCAAAAAAATAAGATATCGCGACTTGTTTTGCCTAAAACCCCTATTCTTTTTAGGGATTATAGTGATGATATTTACTAAACTATAACTAAAAACCTATAAATTTTTAGCGAGAATTTAGTGAAGGTCTACCTTGATCATTGCTAAATCCCCCTAGAAATTTGGGAGTTTTCGTAGCGATGATATAAGCAAACCATCACTAAATTCCTAAATGTATCTATTGGGAGTCTTAGAAAAATTTAGCGATGGTTTGTCCAAACGATCATTAATTTTGCCCAAAAAGGTTTTTTAGTGACATTATAAAAAAAGCATCACTAAAAACACAAAAAATAGGTGTAATCTATGACGGTCTAACCATACCATTGCTAAATTTCCTAAATGTATCAATTGGGGGTTTTAGGAAAATTTAGCGATTGTCTTCTTAAATCGTCACTAAATACAATCGCTAAATTAGCCTAAAAAGGTTTGTTAGAGATGGTTTCATATTAACTATCATAAAAAACATAAAAAATGGATAGAAACTACGATGATTTGGCCAAATCGTTCCTAAATCCCTTAATGTATTTGTTGGAGATTTTAGGAAAATTTAGTGATGGTCTATTCAAACCGTCACTCGAATTCGCTTAAAAAGGTTTATTAGCAACAGTTTTGCTAAATTCGTCGCTAAAAATGGACATAATTTTCTTTGGTTTGACTAGACCATTGCTAAATCCATTGGTATTTGGTGACGAGTCTAATAAAACCATCTCTAAAAACCTAATAAACTCGTGTTTAACAAGGGTTTCATCTAAAAACATCACTAACTTAGGTCCCATTTGTGATTTTTTTAAATTTATGAGCTCTCGATGATGGTTTTGCAAACCGTCATTAAAAAACAATAGTATCAATAAAATTAACTATGGGCTATAAAGACTATTGCTAATTGTTGTTATTTAGAGACAATTTTATAAATCGCCATTAAATAATGGATGATGTTTCTCTATTTTCTTATAGTGAATGATACGAAGCGAGTCGGATATCGGTTAAGACCATCTAAAAATCTACCATAATATGTCATTGAGTACAAAAAGTAACATGGTCAAATGCCTTAATAATGGTTAGTGTTCGGATTGCATGCTTCTCATTGATGCCCAATCCCTTAAGATGGTAAGTGGCATAAGATTTAAAGATAAACCTTTGTCAATAAAGGTCTCATAAATGGAGCTATCATTCACCTTGTTTTTTCATATAAAATGGTCAATTATGGTTGGTCTTTTTGACACGATAATCAATATCGGTGAAAAGCAAGTCATCTCATATTTTCTTTCCATCTTTCAACTAAATAGTTGGCTACAAACACTCAATATATTGTTCTTTAGAGATATGCATGAGGGTATCGTAGTTACTTGTTTAACTTCTTCATTCTCAACGATTAACACGAGTTATGAAAGTTTGAAGTTTTTAATAACAATTATGTAATGGGGGTGTTAATATTATTGGCCCCTTCCACATATAGCGTGGTGTGTCTAGGAGCAACTTGACAAATTTGTATGTTCAACTCTTCTTCTTCTAGCTTAGTAGGGTCATAAGAGATAAAACTAACTCTGGCCATTATAGCAAATAAAGGATTTTTCTCGGACATCATTTTTATTATCAAGAATAATCTTCCTTTTCTTAAGTTTATTATGGAACATGAACCTTAAATGATGACATTCCTTTGTCGGGGTGCCCCACATACTCATGGTACCGATAATACTTGGGGTTTAATTTATCCTTTTAAAAGGGTAACCTCTTTATCTATGGGAGTTTGATAGCTTGATCGACCACTAATAATCTAACGAGTATAGAACTTGTTTATAGTGCATAGGAAGGTGTGGCAAATTAACATTCCAAAATGCTAGCTCAAAACTTATCCCTCTCATTTTTTTATTTGGTAGCCGTCTAATTGAATGATGTTTATGAAAAGACCTATCTTGGTACTACTAATAATAAAGGGAAATCATTCCATCTTAAAAGGACAATAGAACTATTGATTTAATGAGCGTGTTCTACCGAGGTAGAAAAAGTGTTCGAATCTAAATTCTCAAAATATATCTTATATTATCTATACAAGCCTTAGATACATAGCCTAAAAGCTTTCTTCTCATTAAAACCATCCCGAAAATCCAATATATAATCATAAAATGGTTCAATATACTCTAGTAATCCTTCTTTAGAGCCTTAGTATTCTCTTTCTAAATTAGACATGGTCATCCTCTTATGGATAGAGAAAAACTTATCGATAAATAATTTATACATGTATGACCACATTTAAACAAAGCCGAGGTGAGGTTCACATATCAAGTGTAGACTTTATTTGTCGAAACTTAAAAAATTCCTCTAGCTTAAAATCTTCATCTAAATCATAAATATCTAAAGTTTCTACGAATTGCATGAGATGCTCATTGGCATATCTTTGTTTTCTATTAAAGATTTTAAACTTAGAGTCACATAGTCCTTCGAATAAGGTCTCATCCTAATGTTGCTTGGATAAAGAAGTTTGAGATCAAAGTAACTAGTAAATTTTGCCAACATTTGTTCGAAGAATTTTCTAAGTCTTTCTCGATAAGAAAGTAGCATTGATAACTAAAAACAACAACATGAGAAGCGATTGATGATCATGCACGACCACACGATGGGTGTTTAGTAAGGGGATGTCCTTCTTGTTATTCGAGTTAAACAGTGTGGTATTTGGTCATCTTTAATGGTAATAATTAGTGGCACTATAGTTTAAAGGACAATTGCTCGAGGTAGTCTACTCATAGAAAGTAGTTGGTTGATGCTACTAAGGACTCAGGCAAATGCGATATTATTGTCTTAAAGAACTTTAAAGACTTGTTATTGTTCTTATTGTAGTATGAGTTAAGTATTTTAGAGAACTTTTAAGACTTCGATCACGGTTTGAAGGTCCGGATGTGTAACAATGTGGTTGGGCCATAAGTAAAAGGTTAAGGTAGTTGCTTCACGGCAAAATTTGTAAGCTACTGACCACCAACTTAGTGGTTTTGAGTGTTAAACGGGTTGGTGTTGTCGGTATTATTATCGAAATCATGTATGGTATTATCATTATTATCGTTGGTTGAGCTAGTTACAATATTATTATTTTTCTTGATGGCTTGAAAGAGATAATTATTCTTTCACAATCACTAACTCTTCGACAAAGTCACTAAAATGGGGATTTGTGTGTGTAAAAAAAGTTCTTGATAACCGATCAAATGATCGGTTAGTAGACTGGTAAGTATATAAAGACCTAGTGTTATAACTTGTAGAAGTAACGATAAATCAACCAAGTAGAATGTATGTATCTAGTGAGAGATGTGGGAGAAAAAAGCGGACGAGTGCTAGTAAAACGCTAGATATAATGGCGGATAGCTAGATAGTTAGGTGGTTAAGGTCCAAACAGAAAGAGCTTTAGGTGATATTTTGTGTGTGAGTAGAAGAGCTTTAAGAAAGAGAATTTAGAGGTTTTTGTTAGAAATCAAAAGTTGAAATGCTCTCACAATGATATGAAGTTAGTATTTATAGTGAAATAATGATGATATTTGATCGCTCTAATCGTGTCGGATCATCCGGACAATCGATTTGAATTAAAAAAAATTAGATTCTTTTGGCTTAAACTACTTCAACTTGCTAGTAAAGACAAAAAAAAAAAAGGTAACAATTAAGTTTTTTTTTAATGAATCTTACCTTGAGTCTATTGAGTCAATCATCTTAATACATCTTAAAAAATAGACAAGATATCACTTAAATTTATTTATCCTTTCTTTAGCCAATCTTCGTACATTAACTTTGCTAAAATATCCGTATTCATGCTTGCGTGATCTAAGGCCTTAACTCATTTTCAATCTAATTTATTTATTATGTAGTTTGGATATTTATTGAAATGAAAAAAAAAAGAAAAGAGATGAATAATCAACATATAATAAAATTAGCTAAATTATTTAATTAATTTTATAAAAAATCAAGCATATATAGCGTGAGACATGCGTATGCTGATGCCAATGAATTCCGTTTCCCACCTAACAAAGTTCTCGTAAATTTTATAGATTGAGGACACAATGGAACATTAAATTTACAAAATTACTAGTCACTTTTCATAGAGAATAACCCCAAAACTTTTTTGAAAAAACAAGAAAAATGTGTTCAAATATGCAATTGCTACCTAAGAATTCCACTTTCTATCCATCATAAAAATCATGTCCTTGTCTCCAAACAACATGGTTTGTCCTAAAGCCGAAGACAAAAACAAACCAGACCCATAATCGTCATCAAGAGAAGCTCACGCCAACAAAACAAAAACAAAACCGATGCGAACGATGTAACCGTGGCAAATCAAGCCAAGCCCCACGCAAACATAGCAGAGCATCATCTCCTACGTTATTCCCCTTGTCGCTTTCACATCTCCAACAACAACAACAAGCACTGCAAATCTAATTCTATTCTCGCTTCCTCTTCAAGCTTCTTCTCATTCCTTAATCCTTATAACACATTTCTCATGCTGTTAGTACCATTCTTGTTCTTCTTTTTGTTGTTGTTAAATCTCTCTCAGTCTTTCCTTCAAATCCCATAATAATGTATGGTGAAGATCATCACTTCTTTGCCTCTTTAATGAAAGACAAAGAATCTGAACTGTCGGATCACCAACCCTTCATTTTAGGGGGACTGTTTCTAGATCATAAAAACATCTGTCCTCCTTCCTTTGTTTCTTTACTTTCTTTAAAGAAGAAGAGAAACATTGATAACCATTCTTATTTGTTGAAAAGGACCTTATTTAGGTTTGTGAATATGCGGCGGCGAGGCAGGAAAGGTGGGGATTTTTTGTCTGTGAGTTTGTCAATAAAGGGGAGAGAAGAAGATGGACATGAAGGGAATGTTGGGGAGTCTATAGAGGGTCTGGGGCAAAATGGGGCTGAGAAAATTTTGGATGAGGAGGAGGTTGAAGTGAAGAGATCAGGTACTTCAGCTGCTTTGAATACAACTAAACATCTCTGGGCTGGTGTTGTGGCTGCTATGGTTTCAAGGTCTTCTTTTTTTCTTTTTATTGCTTCTTGATTTATGAATCTTTTAAGTTAGTTAACATTGTAGCATCGTTATTTATATTTGTCTTGAATTAAATGGTAATGGAAATGAAGATTGTTTCTTGATTGAATTAGAGTTTGTAAGTAGAGTTACTTCAAGAGCGTTTCTGGTTCATCAGTATATAGATTTTTGTTCATTGACTTAGTTAAAATCTCATTAGCGACGGGATTTTGAATTGGGTATCAATGACTATGGTTTACATGTCTTGTTTTGCTTGCTTTATTAATTATTGCTACTTTTAACAGTGTTATAAACTTTTTTTCAACTTTATTAAGAATGCAGCTTTATTTGTCTTGAATGAATGTTTATAGAAAAGTATTTCTAGATTGATTGCAATTATAATCCTTAAAGATGGTTTAGTAAAGAGGTTTTTCCTTGCTGCATATAGAGATGAATTTTTGTTCATTGACTTTGTTAAAACCCATCACTGGAAGGATTCTAAATAGAGTAATGATTAAAAAAAAAGAGTACCGATTGATTTATGCATATCTCCGTGTCTGTGTTCTGCTTGATTGTACATGCAGAAAACTACTTCAATTCTTCTTTTATACTAAATAAACTTGTCTCTAATGATTGTCTGTTCTGAAATCAAGAATGTGGAATTGCAACAAGAAATCAAAATTGAGAACATTTTGCTCTCTGAATCTTTATTAAGAATTCCCAATGATAATTGCTCAACTTTCTAAGAATCTATAGTTTTCTTAATGGAATATAGTTGTGGTTTCTCTGAAAGTTTTCAAAGCCTTTAGTTATGTGATTTGAATTGGTGAACAAATGGGTTATTGATATAACTTTCAAGTCTCTTAAAATGTGCTTCTCATGTACTGGCTACTGATCCATGTATACATGTTAATTTAATAGCTCTTTTTTGTTCTAATTATGAATTAATATTTCTTTTGCATAACATTTGTTTGCTGAAACAGAACTTTTGTAGCACCCCTTGAGAGGCTGAAGCTGGAGTACATTGTTCGTGGTGAACAGAAAAATCTTTTGGAGGTCATAAAGGCAATTGCGGCAACACAAGGGCTGAAAGGTTTTTGGAAAGGAAACTTTGTCAATATTCTTCGTACTGCTCCATTTAAGTCCATCAATTTCTATACTTATGATACATACAGAAATCAGCTGCTGAAATTGTCTGGGAATGAGGAAACCACAAATTTTGAGAGGTTCCTTGCTGGGGCAGCAGCTGGAATAACTGCTACTTTGCTTTGCTTGCCTATGGACACTGTACGTAGTAAACTTCAACTTTCTCTTCATGATTTAACGCCGTAAGCTTCTTCAATTATTGACTTGAATTGTTTCATGTTCTGTATGTATGTTTGCTACTTAATGCTATGTAGGGCCAATAGAAGTGATTAGTTATTGCACGAGTCACCACAGTACTGGAGGTAACATACTTGACTAAAGCACTGCTTTCTGGCCATTAGTTTGAAGTGGAAATTTTGAGGTGGAAAGTTTAGGGACCATTCATTATGGTGAACTTTTGTAACCTGTAGCGATGGGTAAACAATCTTTAGTAAACGAGAAGAGAAACATGAACATTGATACTGATGATAAATATAAAGTAAAAAAATTGTATAAAATAGATAGAGGAGGACAAACAATGGAGGGAGTGAGAAAAATAAAAAAAAACTATACTCGGCTAAACCTCATTCTGAGCTGGTTGGGGTTGCTAGAGTGAGAGAACAAGTTAAAAATATTGGACAGGAAGGGAGAGAAAAGGTCTAAAATAATTTAGTGACAGAAATAACATAATCTATAATAAAAGGTGAAATGTTAATCCATCCCCCAAGGTAAATCTTTCCTCCCTTGGGGGAACCAAATGGGTTAAGCAGGTGGGTTTTTCCTTTGATTCCCAAACAAAATCAGCCTAATGTTGACATCTGATTTAGTCCAACTACTCAGGAACGATCAACATCGATGCATAATTTCAAGGATGGGATTTAGTGAGCTTAGATTTGAATTTTTTTGCATGTTCAGCCGAAGCCTGCTCAGATTATCACAAAAGAAATCTGCTGCATAATCTATTTTACCAGACTTGTGTGGTTTGCTAAGACTATTGTATAATGTGTTTCCGTATAAAATCTAATTCCTCCGTAGCCATTACTGAATTTCACTTAGTTTGATTGTTGCGGTTATGGATTAAGCTGATTGCCTCTTTAATTTTATTGAAGTTGTGACATCCATCCACTCACCTGTAACGTTGCAAGTTGGACTTAGGTTGAGGACTTGTAGTTACCATCCTTAGAGCTGCAACTGCTGCTACGTATGCAGGTTGATGTTCTTTCATTTGATTGGTTAACATAAAAGAACCGACACAGCAATGATTGCACTGCATTTCATTCTCTTTCTTCATATTTAATTGACATTCCTCAGCTTGATCGTGTTATAGTGGAATATTTTTTTTAATGTAGATCATTGGTAATCGATGCTCAAAAATGTCAAATTTTACAGATAAGAACAAAGATGGTTGCACCTGGTGGGGAAGTTTTGGGTGGTGTAATTGGCACTTTCCGCCACATGATCCAGACAGAAGGGTTCTCTTCTCTTTATAAGGGTTTACTACCCTCGTTAGTGGCAATGGCTCCTTCAGGTGCAGTTTACTATGGTGTTTATGATATGCTAAAATCAGCTTATCTTCATTCACCGGAAGGGATGAAGAGAATTCAGAACATCAAACAAGAAGGCCAGGAACTGAATGCATTGGAACAACTGGAGTTGGGTCCCATGAGAACATTGCTTTATGGGGCAATAGCTGGTTGTTGCTCTGAAGCTGCAACGTATCCATTTGAAGTTGTGAGGAGACAGCTTCAAATGCAAGTTCGATCAACAAAGATGAGTGCGATGGCAACTTGCATAAAGATAGTTGACCAAGGAGGCATTCCCGCTCTGTATGCAGGTTTAATCCCTAGCTTGTTGCAGGTACGATGATGCATAACTCCTAAGTACATGAACTATTTCTTTATTGTATGAAGTTTCTGGTTTGATATGGTCCAGAAAGTTTACAGCTGAATGCAGTTTTTTTACCATAAAGCAGTTGCCTCCATCTTTCTTATTAAGCCTGAAAACTGCTTTGATTTGGCTGGCTGTGGGTCTTTTCCACCATGTTTTGGATCACATAGCTCATCGAGTTAGACCTTAATATACCCCCACTAGGTGAAGGCAGACAGTAACCTTTATTGTTTAAGTCATATACAACAGCCATGGTGTTTTCTACTGTAACCTCAACATTTAAATCATTTTCAAGGGGGTCATTGTAAGGAAAAGCACTGAATAATGGTAGAATAGCAAGTTTCTGTGGTGTGTGCCTCTACTACAACCCCACTTCACAATCGTGTAACTTGGGAACTTCTGGTTTGTCCAATCATGCGTCCTTTTCATGTCTTCTTGTTAGGAGGGGAAGAATATAGTGATTTCTATCAACTGCTTTTTAGCCCCACGTTTCCAGCTACTATTCAAAGGTCCATTATTTCTTTCAAATTCTTAAATTTCCATGAACAAAAAAGGTTTTAAACAAAGAGAAAATCAGAATCTAGGACATGTAATTGCATGTTGCCAGGATATCATGTTTTGGATTTGGCATCAGTATTTGCGTACCGCACCAATTCAGAGGCACCTTTGGTTGCCGGAACTGGCTGTTGCAAGGTTCATTTTTTCCAATATTAAATTTTTTAAAAAAGTTGAGACAAATCTCACTTAAATAACTGAAGTTTGAAATGTTTGATGAAACACTTCTGAGAAAAACATGGGACCTGCTTCTTTTTCATACCTTTTTATTGCATTCTTGGCTTTTTGGAGCTTTTCATAATTCATATCGAAACCGGTTCATTTTCATCCCTTTCCAACCCACGTTTTTTATTCGCTGAACCTGCAGGTTTTGCCATCCGCTGCTATAAGTTACTTTGTCTACGAGTTCATGAAGATAGTGCTTAAAGTCGAGTCAACATAGACAAAGCCTTGGAGGGTGCTCCTGTTTGTGAAGTTCATGATGTTTTGCGTGGTGTTTTGTGGGACTCCTTGGATGAATCTAATTTTTCTTGTACCCTTTTTTTCAACAGAACTGAGGGAAAGTACCCCCCATTAGTTCCCAGCTTTTCCCTGGCATTTTTATAAGGAAAAGTGAAGGGAAAAATCTCAGTTCAGTTTAAAGGAAAATGGGAGCAAAAAGCTTTTGAAAGGAGGTTTGCTTGCAAGCTCCAAACTCTGTCTATGTCTCGAAGGAATTAGAAATCAATCATGCAATTGTTACTGACTTTTCATGGATTGTCAATTGCAACCACCAGAATTCAATGCATTTGAAAAGCTCAGAGCATTTCTTTTGACTTTTAAAAGGAAAAACACTTCATCTAACCTAATAAAACATTTTTTTAGATCGTGAATCCTACAATTCTGACAGAAGATGGCAAATACCATTTGACAATTCAATCTATGCAGCACATCATAGTTGGATTATTTAGAAAAAAACATATTACCAACGTTGTTGTAGGTTGGCACCCTTTAGGAGTGCTAATTTGTCTAATTGACAAAGCCCAGGTCTTTTGAAACGGGGTCAATTTCCATTTTCTTATCCTGAGATTAAGATCAATTTTATCAGTGTCTTTTCTGAAGTTTTAATCATCAATCAACTAACCCCCCAAAAAAAATATATATATAATAATAATAAAAGAAAAGAAAAGAAAAAAGTCTCGCCAAACTTTTGAAATTTGATTAAATAAATTGATGAGATCAAACCCTTTATTCTCAATTAAAGGATCGAAATTGTGTTGCAAAGTCAAAAAATATTTGCACAAAAAAAAAGAAAAAAAAAGGTTTACAAATTTATTAGAACTAAAATAAAAAAAAACATGAAATGTTTTATGAATCTCTTAATTTGATGAGTCAAGCACTCGTTACATTCTGGTATCCACATTAATTGATTTTATGAAATATATTGTTTGATGAATAGTTCGGTGACAGCCCTATTCTAATTATGCAAAACTTCAAAAGTTGTTTTTACTTGGGTATTAGGTCTCTTGTTTTTAAGATTTTAATTCTTTGTGGTCTTTCTATTTTAATTTTCTTTCTAATTTTTAAATTATTTTATGTTTTTTTTCCTTTATTTTCGATGTAAACCATGTTAAAAAAAAAAGATAAATTTGTATCTTATATTATTAAATATAAATAATATATATGGCATTGTTTGAATCTTTTAATTGAAATAGAAGATTTCAATTCATAAAATCATTTTAGAAGAATTCTATTTAATTGAATTTTAAAATCTTAAGGATTGATATATATGTGTGAGCGCGCGTGTGCCCGTGTGTGATCGCGCGTGTGTTAGTTTGGTAAATTGTAGGGACACATGGATTCTTGAAACCTCGTAAAAAGTACATTGAAAAAATTAAAACCTCGTAAAACGAAAAAGTGGCTTCACTCCAGATTAGAGAAGAAGGAACATGCCATAATTATATTAAGACAGTAGCCTCTTCTCTTGTAAGTAAATTCATTAGCAGCAACTTAAAAGTAATCATAACAAGTCTAAGGATGTATAAATGTATAATCCTCGTTTGAAAAGCAAGGCTAGCAAAAACTAGTCAGATCTCCATGCCCCGCTAAAATTAAAATTAAAATTTTTTTATCTAATTTATAATTTTTAATCAAAATTTTATATTTAATTTATTTATCGTTATATTTTTCAAAAATTTTGTGGCTAAAAGAATAAGATTTATCTTCATTGTATCTTTATTCATAAATAAGACTTGTAATAATCTAAAAAAAATAATATAAAATTTAAAAAATATCTTAATATTTTTTCAGAAAATTGCATCAAAAAAATAAAACAACAATTAATATAAATTAAGAAATGAATCTTTTTTATTTTTGTTTAAAGCTATAAGAAGATGAATTTTTTTTTATATGCATTCAATTTATATATATTTATTTACAAAATAATCAGTAATATTAGTATAAAAAATATATTTAAATTAATATATGGTTATTCTAAGATATTATTTTAATTATTTTATTTGAAAGAAATTGATTTTAGAATATTAAAAAATTTAATGACAAATAATTCGTATTTTATGCGAAAAAGCATAGTTAATTTTTTATAAACCCAATTATTCTATTTTTCTATACATCAGGGAATAAAATATAATATAATATAAAATTTGTATATAAAATTAAAATAAATGACTAGAAAAAACCAAAAGCAAAAAAAAAAAAAAAACATCTTTTAGAAACATCTTTAAGGTGAATAGCATCGTAAATAGTGAACCACCCTTAACTTTTTCAGTTATATAATAATAATAATAATAATAATAGGCAGACAATGATGAGGCACTAAAGCGCTTAGCGGATGGATCTACCCCAGATAGCACTTACCACTATTCAAAGTATATTATAGTTTTCACACTTATTATTATTATTATTATTTTATACACAATAGCGAAACAGCTAGGCAAGAAGTTAATATCCGAAAGAACACTGCTTCTTCTTCTTTTTTAACGGTGAAAAATAAATAAATTTTTAGCCCATTAATTTTAGTTTTATTTTATTACGGTATTATTAGGGGAGTTTGTATCCTGATTTTTTTTTTTTAACTTTTTCTCCATACTAGCAATCATGGAATTTATATTTTTTTATTCATATAAAAATTTGTATTAATAATTGTAGTTTCTTTTTATTGCAGACTTCTCCAGCAGAACAAGTAAGAACATGGGAAGGAAATATTATTTGCGTAGCTGATTCTACCACCCTCCCCCGTCCATAGCTGCTAAAAAGATACCTACACAGCGAAGAGTGAAACAAAGTAGTTGAAGAAGTAGGTGAAACATAAGTGAGTACAGGGAGTAAATAAACGTAGTGGAGATAATTTAAATCTTTTCATGATCAATTTTGCCCCTACTTAAAAGATTCCGTCTAATCTGCCTATGTTCGTTAAGTATTTCCATCCAAAATATGAAAATGAATTCCAATCTATCACGAAAGATAATTTAAATGCCAGACCATAGTGAGTTTTTTTTTTATTATATATATATATTGTCAATTAATTTTAAAATGATCAATTATGTTTGAGGTATTATTATTATTAATAACACTAAAATGTTTGAAACTTAGTTGACAATGAGATAATATATAAGTAGTTAAATCCGGATTTCGTCTGAAAAAAAATTAAAAAAAAAGCAAGCAAAGAGTTCCGGAGAAGATATTCGCACTCTGCAGTATTATAACAGCACTCCCACAAAGTTTTTTGTTTTCTTGCAAATAGACAAATATACCCTCAAAAAAAAAAAAACTCACTTATAAACTCTACCTCTCCCTTAATTTGAAATCCTCAATTTCTTCAGCATCAGTCCTTCGAATCCAACCTTGAAAAAATATTAACATATCATCATTACTATCCTATCCAATTGAAGTGAGATCTTTAAAAGAATTTAAAATTCTTTATTCTAGAAATTATGGTATAAAATAGAATAATTTTACAAAATTAAGATGAAATCTGTAACTATTCAATAAACATTATATTTTTATGGGTTAAAGGTCCATGATATCTCTCATTATTTTATTTATCTTAATCGTGTTCTTTTACTAATTTTTTCAATAATCGTATCTTTTTATTTTTAATTTAAGTAATAATTTTGTTCCTCTCGGTCAAAGTTTTGATAACTAAATCAATTTTTGACAACAAAATAGAAAAAAATCTGAAAATCTTTTAAAACAAATCCTTAAGAAATCTGAAAAAATTCCAAAATGTCCTTTTTTTCTCTACGTTTATGTATAAAAATAAATAATTAATTTTAACCCTCAATTGGTTTTTGCTTTCTCTCAAATTCAAACAATTTTTTTTTTATGTATAGGAAAGAACATAAGCAAATTTTTTACATATTTATTTCAGAAATTTACCATGAAAATTTATTTTAAATCCAAATCTAAAAAAAAAAATATGAATTTTTTTCATAATACAAGAACAAAAGTAAAAAGTAGAGAAAAAAGAGGTATTTTCGACGACAAACTCATGTGATACATACACGTTGCATTTTTTCAAAAAAATCTAAAAAAATTCCAAAATGCCTCTCTTTTGCTCTACCTTTATGTATAGAAATAAATAATTAATTTCATCTATCAATTTTTTTTTTTTTTTTTTTTTTGCTTTCTCTCAAATTCGAAAAAAATTAGCTTGAGAATGAAATTGAAACACAAATTAAACGTTAAGGAATATGATTATTGAAAAAATTAATAGAGAAACACGATTAAGACAAATAAAACAATAAAAGAATATCCCGAACCTTTTGTATTTGGAATATTAGTTCTTTCTAATTAGACTCTAATTGGATGGGTGAATCCCTCGTTAGTCTTTGATTAAACCAAGTGAAATTCTATTCATATTTAGTTTGATTTTGAATAAACTCGAATAAATATTTAGGTGTCATTTGATTATTAGGAATGAAAGTTACGGAATGAAAATGTAGGAATCGAATGACATTTGTATTTTCATACTATGTTTGAAATAGCAATACGGAATCGAATATAATTTAAATTTTTTAATAGCTATTTTTTTATACAAATAAAAATAACGATTAAAAAAATAATTTTATTAAACTATAATGATTGTAAAAATAATAAAGGCGATAGTGATGGTGGTGGTTATGGCAGCGGTGGTTTTAGTTGTGATGATGGTGGTTGTGGTTACGATAGTGGTGATGATGGTAATAGTTGCGATGGTTATAATTGTGGTGGTGGTTGTGGTAATGGTGATTGTGGCGATGACGGTAAAAATAATTAATAGATAATAAATAAATAAAATATATTATTATTTTGAAAAAAAATTCATTCTCATTTTTTATTTTTATTTCCACATCTTATATGAGAATAGAGTTGTGTGTAAATTTTCATTTTAATTCTTACTCTTCATTCTTATTCCCATTTTATTTCTTTTAATCAAACAATTATAATATAGGAATAAAACTTCTATTTTCATTTTATTTCTATCACTTTATTTCCGATTATCAAACAACGCTTTATTTTATTTATTTCAATCAAATTGAATGACGCTACGGTACGTGACAAATAGGATAAAAATGTCATCCCATTTTTTTTAAGGGTAAATTTGTCAACTTCAAAAAAAGGAAAGTTAGTATGAGTGTGGTAATAACGTAATCGGAGTGCGCATATCACGTACCTTACCTTCTTGAGTTCACACTTGGGACGGATACATAGAAGAAGCAGTGTCCCTGAAATCACGTCAAAGGTAGACTCCACATCACTCAGTACCATCCTCCTCTTACCCTTTTTGTCCGAAATTCCATTTTGGCTGCTACCCAAATATCCCGTCTCTCTCTCTCTCTCTAACCTTATGTCCGTACCCCTATCAGCTCGATTTTCTGATCAGGAAAAACAATCTCTACTTTCTTCAACTTCTTTCGTTTAGATTTCTTCTCAGAAAGTCAGATCAAAACACAGAGCTTCGTAATTATACATCTTAATTGTTTATTTTACACAGTAATTTATGTATCTTTTCAAGATTTGACATCACACATACACAGAGATAGAAACAGAAGAGGAGGAGGAGGAGGAGCTAATCAATCATGACTGACACTAGACGTTATCCTCTTGGTAACCAGCTAGGTAGGAGAGTTTCAACTTATTTATTTATTTATTTATTTTTACTTTGATTTTGGATTCACTTGGGTAGTGTATTATAGAAGTGTGATTTTTGATATTTCTATGTTCTTTTCTCTTCTTTTGAAGATTTTTAGTTTTGTTTTGATGGCTGCCTTGTATATTTTTTAGGAGAAGAAGATATTAGTAGGACTCAGTTTGTGATCTGGGTTTAAAATTTGGATTTTTATTGGTGGGTTTTTACTTTTACAACAAAGGGACAACTTGTAAGGATTATCATTTATTTACTAGTTCAACAGTCCAGTAAAGATGATGATAATTTTGATGTTCTTTTGGGGGAGGATTTGAGATTTTTAGGGGAATTTGTAAAAAAAGAAAGGGAAATTTTGCTCAAGATGTTATCATTAATTGGTAACTGGATTTTAAAATAATGATAACACTGGACTGAGATTAATGTTTTATTGTTAAGGAGATAGTTTTTCCATGATTTATCAGTCCCTAAGTTCTTCTCCTATTACACAGTCTTGAAGGAGAAATAAAGTAGTTTTGCAATTGTGGAATTAGCTTTCATGGTTTTTATTCTCCTCTTGTCCTCATTTGTTTTTCCACTTAATGTCGTGAATTTACTGACGATGTGTATTTTTTTTAATAAAATTGTCATTGACTGGATTGCAGATATCCAGCAAATACTGCTAGAAGCACAGCATCGATGGCTACGGCCTGCTGAAATTTGTGAAATTCTTAGCAATCATCAGAGGTTTCGTATTGCCCCAGAACCCGCTCATATGCCTCCAAGTAAGATTTTGACTGCATTGCTTTCATTGATTAATTGTTCAATGAGCCTTTTCCTGTGTGCCTTGCATAATCTTAAAGGGGGATGATAAGAGAGATTTTTTGTTTTTAGCTTGTTCATTCTAGTAATTTATGTTCTTTTGTGAGAATCTACTATGAAAATTGTTCTGCAACTGATCCATGTGGCAAGATTCCTTAAAAAATCTAACTGCCTTTTTTAGCTAAGGATAAGGTTTTGCAATATTTCAAACTGATATCTTGTGGGTGGAACCTGAGGATAATGGTATCAAGTGGGGGCTGGAGACCATAAAATCTGCATAGCTCTGATAGATTCATTTCCATAGCTTTATGTTCCTATCACTGAAGTGATTGTCAGATCATTAATCATGTGTGTTCACCTGTTTTGTCTCTTTCATTTGAACCTCTTCTGTCGGATATCAGATCAAGCATCATTCTTACGTGTCTACAGCAGCTGAAGCATAAAATTGCAATCAATTTTATTCTAAAACAACGATTTGATTTTTATTTTTTGTTTTGTCATTTTACTCAGTTTTAAAGGAAATGAAAGAACTACTTGATTGAGCTTTCTTATCCAATAAAATTCTATTTGTTTCAACTCCAGTCACTGATCAAATACAATTGTATTTGTTTGAATTCCAAGTTTCAGTGTAGGCTTCCACATTAGGACTCCTCCCTGATTCTTGTCTGATTCCTATTGGGGCTAGAAGTCGCATTTTAGGTTAGGAGAAGTTCGTTGATAGCAATATAATGTGTAGCATGAGTGCTTCTGTCATATTTGCATTATCTTCTCCACGATGGATGCATATGCATCCGTTTGATCAAGTTCCTATTGTTAAGATGCAATCATAAAAAATATCTTGGCTCCAATTTCAGGTGGTTCACTGTTCCTTTTTGATCGCAAAGTGCTCAGATACTTCAGAAAAGATGGCCATAACTGGAGGAAGAAAAAGATGGGAAAACTGTGAAAGAAGCTCATGAGAGGCTCAAGGTAGGCATATTAGGGTTTTTTTTTTTTTTTATTTTTTCCTATTGAGATAAGCACCGATCTAGAATATGAGATGGAAAAATTTAAGTCATACCGATCTAGAATATGAGATGGACAAATTTAAGTCATGCATCCTTGAGCCGATGCCTTTGTCTTCTAGCCATGTATTTTACTAAGTTGCAGAGGCATTGTTTATATATAAGCTTTATGTGTTCTTCCAAATTACAGTAACTGAAGAAAGTGTATGTTCTTTTCAGTCTGGAAGCGTTGATGTGCTGCATTGCTATTATGCACATGGAGAAGAAAATGAAAATTTTCAAAGACGCAGTTATTGGATGCTTGAAGAGTGAGTCCTTGAATCTTTTCATTTGGTTTCAAATCTAAATAATTCATGTCAAACCATTTGTCTGGCCCCATACATACCATGGTTTATAAAGTGGCATAATCGACAAGGTTTAGAAGATTGGATTGTTTCTGACCTGTTGATTTATGTGGATTTCACACTGACTCAATAGCTGTCATTTTGTATTAGTTGGAACACTATGTATATGATCTTGTGATTATTTCACATTCTAATTTGGGTTCCAGTTAATTAGAGGCATAACAATCAAGGCTTCAAGTTTGTCATGTAATTTAGGAAATTATTGATCTACACGAGTTCCATGTTAATGTATTTCTTTAAATGTATTTTTCGTTGTGTTTTCCAAAAATTATAGGCATGGCCACAAACTTTCTGAAAAACCTTGGACCAATTGCATATTAAAAAAAAAAAAAGTTATTTGTTCGAGAAAGTTAAGCTGGTTCTTGTTATACTTAATTCTCTCTCAACTCTCTGTCTCTTAACACATATACTGCCCAATTGTTGCTTGGAAGCTTAAAATCTTTTCATGGGTGTGCCATTTCATATGAAGTGTTAAATTAGCTAAAGAAATTGACAGTATTGGCCATCACCTGCACCTTGTAGTTGATATTGTTGGTTTAAATAGCTGGTTTCTTTCTTCTAGATTCCGTTTTTAGACCGATGACATAGTTGTGCTCTACTGCAGGGAGCTTTCAAATATTGTACTTGTCCACTATCGGGAAGTCAAGGTGACATTCTATCCCCCATTCTTTTCTTTTCTATCTTTTTTAGCTATCTTAATTTGTGACTCTGTATTCCAAAAGTTTGCTTTTATTGGATAACTTGAAAGATGAGTCTACTTTTTTCTGCCTTTGTTCTTTCTCAAATATTTATTTGGCTGTGCTGAGAACAATAGAATCCAATGGCTTTTTTTCTTCTGTGGGTTAGTATCTGTATCTGGAACCTCTCCCACACCAGAAGAAGGAATAGGAATGAAAAAAATTAAAGGAAAAAGGAGAAAGGAAACCAATCTGTCTCCAAAATTTTGAATGTCAAGATGTATTGGTTAATCGTGCACGTGTATTTGCTACACCTCTGAGGCTCCATGATGCAGAACAGCTTAGAGGCTATTCTGGATCTGACTTTGGAGGCTGTTTAGAGCTATATCGGGTTGAAGTAAAGTGGAATTCTGCTGGAAATTGTAGAACAATTAGAGTCAAATTAATAGGGTTTCTAGGAGTCACACCTGGAGGATGGAAAATGTAAGCTTCACACCTAGGGTTCTTAGGAGTCACACCTAAGGAAGATTGAATCGCAAAATTAAAAGCAAATTGCTGGAATCTTATTCATAAACCGTCATTGAAAATATTGAAAGACCACATGCTTATTTGTAGAATTCTAGTAGCTCAACTCCAATAAGGACTTAAATTCCTAAATAAGAAAATACTAAGTCTATGTAGAATAGGAAAAACCTAATAAAACTAATTACTCCTCAGGACTAATAAAACAATAAATAAAACATAAAACCTAGACTCAGACAAATTTTCAGATTTTCAATAAATTACAGAAATAGCCTTGCCTATAGAGAGAGACAAGTTTTGCTCCTTTGTTATCTGCATCACTCCAACATATTAAAATTTTTAAGTTAGGAATAGGAATATAATGTTGACTAATACACATGAATTGACTGTGATGGAGTTTTGATCCTTTTGGTGAAAATGATGCCTTAATTGATAATTGAATTGTGAATGTTGTTTGATTAAATTGCTATGCAGTGAATTTTGACATATTGAAGAATTTAGCAACGAATGGATGTCTTTTTTCAACAAAATAAAAATAGAAGTTATTTTTCTGAGGATTAGATTCATCATGTATCTCTGGTGCAAAATCTATTAGATGAATTTTGCATGCTTGAAAATATAAATCTAAATTTAGGCCTGCTCCAGAGCAGGTTTGTGAAAAGCGATATTTCATGTGTGTATTTGTGAATCAGACTATGGCATTTATTGGATAAGAACGAAAAATATCATGTATTTTTGGTACTATGAAAATGATGACAAATATGTGTAGCAATTCTGCAGGGTGGAATGTAAACCTGAAATGTATCTACTTTTGCCATGTATAAATACAAGTAGATATGTGTTATAGACTTTAGAGCAGAAATGTTAAAAGGAAATTATTAAGCAAGATACCCTCAGCATGGGATTGGAAATTTTTCTGCTTCAAATGGCTTAAAATACTATTGAATGTCAGGCTGGAAATTTCTCATGAGAATCTATCTGCACCTCTGTTCCAACAGGAGAATCTATGTGCACATATTTCTTGTCTTTGCTGCTTAAAATCATGATTCAGTTATTATATTCATGTTATTTAGTTTTTTGTTACTCTATTCTGATATGATTGCTTATTGTTATGCTCTTTGTCTTGTGGCTATTACATAAACTGGCTATCGCAAATGGAGTTTCGCTTAGTCTAGAAGAGGAAAATGGTTGACCTTATCAAAGTTTCTCCATTGTCTTATTCTAGTTTGTGTTTATCGTATATTAACTTAGCAATCTTGATATTGGGTTTGAGCTGCTTTAAATTTCAAATGTCATCAGGGAACCAGGACAAATTTTAACCGCATTAAAGAGTATGAAGAAACCATTCCTTATTCTCAAGAAACTGAAGACACAATGCCCAATTCAGAGGTGGATACTTCTGTTTCTTCCGGTTTCCACCCTAATGGTTACCAGGTGCATTCTAGAACTACAGATACGACAAGCATGAGTAGCGCTCATGCATCAGAATATGAGGATGCTGAATCAGGTGCCTTTTTTATTCTTTTTTTTTTTTTTTTGCATCAGTTTCTATTGACAAGAATTTCTGCAGGTCAGCTTCATTAGGATAGTATAGCTTTCTGGATGATGAATGCTTTGGCTCTTTGTATTCTTACATGTGGAGATGGTATTTACTGCAGTATATAATAACCAAGCCAGTTCCAGATTTCACTCTTTTCTTGAGGTGCAAAAGCCTGCAATGGAGAGAGTTGACACAGGCTCATCTGTTCCTTATGATCACATGCCATTTTCAAGTAAATTGTTTCTGATCCTTTGATCTTTCTAGACTAGTTGAGCCAATAGTTTTTACGCAATACATAAGAACTTACAGAATAATCCTTGTAACTTTAAATAGGTAGTTATCAAGGCAAATTCTCAGCTGTTCCTGGGGTTGACTTCATCTCACTTGCCCAAGTGGATAAAGCTAAAGAAACTAATGGAACTGAATCAGCATGTGAGCCTCAGAAAGGCCTTGACTTGCCGTCATGGGAGGATGTATTAGAAAATTGTAGTCGTGGAATTGAATCTGTACCTTTCCAGACAACTTTTTTGTCACAAGTCGATACGGGAGGAATCATCCCTAAACAAGAAGATGAAATACTGGAGAAGCTTTTTACCAATAGCTTTGATAAAAGGGAGGATATTGGGAATCATCTACTTGATCAGGAAGTGTGGCAGGTACTATGTGCTCCTTGCTGTATGTTATAAATCTTTGCATCACATGTTTATTCAGATAAAATAGTAGTTTGTGAATGCCAAACTCTTCCTTGCAATATCTTCAAGGATGGAAGGATGGTGGTAACCTTTTCTGTTTGATATGCTTCGTGAGTGAAATTGACTAGTGGTTATATAGAAGTCTCATTCTCATAGTTGCTTCTCTTGCAATTGATCATAATATCTACATGAGCAATAGATATCTATAATATATTATCATAAAATGCTATGGCTGGGATGGGAATGTTAAGGTTGACGAATCATAACACAAGATAAGACTGAGTAGGTAATGAGTACATTTGTGGTAAGGTCGAGGTGGCGCCAATGAGGGTAAGTGGAGAGATGGTGTGATGTAGGAAGAGAAGGAAAACGATAGCTAAAGGTAGCTAGTGGAGCCAATGGCTGGTTATCTAGGCTGAAAAGCCAGAAAAAAAAGAACAATCTCTTGTTAAAATTATCAAAATTCCAAAGTTATTTCTTATTACAGTAGTAGCAGCCCTTAAATACTAGCAAGACCCTAAGTAAAAGAAACCCTAGCCCTTAAAAGTATCTGAATCTTAGCTGTCCAACTACCACAATAAATAATACGTAATAACTATTAAAAGAAAAACCCTAATTATATGAAAGCTACTGCAGTTCTAGCCCATGCATCATGGTGGTTTCATTTGGCCATTTCTAACTTCCAACCTATGGTACGCTGGGGAGAAAAAGTAACGCGTTGAAGTATTAGGAGAAAGCAGGGGAGACAGACCAGAAATGACATGGGGTGAATTAATAAAGGGTGATCCAGGGTCATGATAGTTTATAGGAAGTTTGTCCCATAATAGAACTGAATGAAGGAGGCAGATTCATCATCCATGTAGTCAACCTAAACAAGCTTGGGATTGATGCTTTGTTGAGTCGAGTTTATTAATTACTGCTCACCATAATTGGATTCATTACATTTTTAAATTACTGCAAATGTCTCATTATATGTTGCTTAAAGATGTGTTATCTTTTCTTCTTCTGATTCACTTATCTGTTTTAGCTTTAACTTGCCTTCTAAACAGAATGTGGAGGGTGGTTCTTCGCATCCATCGAAGTGGTCCATGGATACAAAGTTGCATCCGGACTCAGCATATGATCTCCCTTCTAGGTTTCATGATCAACAACTTGATAGTGGCAACTTAATCAATACTTTTGAGCCTTTCTACACTCAGGAAAACGATCACCATATCCAAAATGATCTTCAAACACAGCCTGCAAATGCAGATCATGGTACAAGCCTAGAGGAAAAATCGATCTACTCTTCTTCTGTGAAACAGCATATTTTGGAAGGTTCAGGGACAGAAGGTTTGAAGAAGCTTGATAGTTTCACCCGATGGATGAGTAAAGAACTTGGAGATGTAGAGCCGCAGGTGCAGTCCAGTTCTGGAACATACTGGATTACTGCTGACAGTGAAAATGGGGTTGGTGATTCCGGCAATCCCTCTCAAGGGCACCTCGATACATATTTGCTTTCTCCTTCTCTCTCCCAGGACCAACTCTTTAGCATTATTGATTTCTCACCCAACTGGGCATATGCAGGCGCAGAGATCAAGGTACTATAATATTAGTATTTCTTGTGAGCTAGATTGTGCATTACCATCTATGTTATTACATGTGTCGGCTTTTATTTATATACTGGATTTTTGTTTCTAAGCTGAGCTAGCACTCATCGCTGGAGTATCATACACTTCATTTTAATAGTATAATGTTCTTTTCTCAATAATTATACAATGTATACAGGTCCTAATCATGGGAAGGTTCTTGAAGAGTCGAGAAGAAGCAGAAAACTGTAAGTGGTCAATTATGTTTGGAGAAGTTGAAGTTCCTGCAGAGGTTATAGCTGATGGTGTTCTTCATTGCAATACTCCTTTGCATAAGGCTGGGAGGGTTCCTTTTTATGTTACATGTTCAAATAGGGTAGCATGTAGTGAAGTGCGTGAATTTGAGTACCGACTCAGCCACCCCCATGATATTACTTATAACTATAGTGACAGTGCTATTGAAGATCTTAATATGCGATTTGGAAAACTATTGTCTCTGAGCTCTGTCTCTCCTCCAAAATATGACTCCAGCGGTGAGGATGAGATTTCCCAGTTGAACAGTAAAATCAATTCATTGCTGAATGAGGACAATGAAACATGGGACCAAATTTCGCAGCTCACGTTAGAGGAGGGATTTTCCACAGAAAAAGTAAAAGAACGGCTTGTTCAAAAGCTACTCAAAGAACAGTTACATGTATGGCTTTTGCAGAAGGCAGCTGAAGGTGGAAAGGGTCCTAGTGTATTAGACGAGGGTGGCCAAGGGGTGCTACATTTTGCAGCTGCCCTTGGCTATGATTGGGCCCTGGAGCCCACAATAGTTTCCGGTGTAAGTGTCAATTTTCGTGATGTTAATGGATGGACTGCACTTCATTGGGCAGCATCTTATGGCAGGTGAGAGCAATGAGGTTTTTTTTTCAAAAAAAAATTCTTTTCTTATTTCTTTAAGGAGTATATTTTGCTTCTAGAATAGTAGTATTTCCTTTCTTGTCTTCCTTTCAGTGCACAACACTTCTTATTACAAGTTGGGGATTAGCATGGAGTATGATGCTATGATAGTTTATTGGACACAGGAATTCTTGATAAATTTAGAAGAATCAAGCCAAATAAGCTACTGAAAAATGTTAACCAGGGTAGGAAGCTGCCTTCATCTAAAATCTGAGCAGCTAACCTTATAGAATAGATGGGGAGGAATTTTATTGGTGATGCTAGGATATCATCAATACCATACCATGCTGCAATAACGTGCTATTTGAAACAAAAGTCAGAAGTTCGTCATGGTTTATATTATCAATTATATAGAATCAACTCTGGCATTGATCCTTGGTGGGATCAAATTACATCGGCAATTGGTGGCTTTTAAAATTTCTTACAAGTTATCATTTTCAAATTACGTATTAAATTTGTATGCTTTTCTTGTCTTTTGGTTCGAATATCAGAGAGCGAACAGTGGCTTCCCTCATCCATCTTGGTGCTGCTCCTGGATTACTAACAGATCCAACTCCCAAATCTCCCACAGGAAGAACGCCTGCTGACCTAGCTTCTGCTAATGGACACAAAGGAATTTCCGGCTTTCTTGCAGAATCATCTTTGAGTGCCCACCTTTCTTCTCTGAATTTGGAAAAGCAGGATGGTGATGCGGCAGAAAGTTCTGGCACACAAGCATTACAGACTGTTTCAGGCTGTAATGCAACTCCAGTCAATGATGCTGACTTACCAAGTGGATTGTCTCTGAAGGATTCATTAGCTGCTGTATGTAATGCTACTCAAGCTGCTGCTCGTATTCACCAAGTCTTCAGAGTTCAGTCCTTCCAAAAGAAGCAGTTAAAAGAGTATGGTGATGACAAATTTGGAATGTCACACGAGCATGCTCTTTCACTTATTGCAGTCAAGTCACAAAAGGCAGGACAATACGATGAGCCTGTTCATGCTGCAATAAGAATTCAGAACAAGTTCCGTGGTTGGAAGGGTAGAAAAGAATTTTTGATTATCCGGCAGCGAATTGTTAAAATTCAGGTGCATTTAGTGTTCTTGTTCTCTCTGTGTTTGTCCTCTTTTTTTTTTTTCTCTCTATTATTAGACATCTCTGTGACTTTCTCTGACAAGTTTTTTCCTTGTACATAGCATAAAACTCTTAAAATCTAACCTTGAGCTTTTTTCTGGTGAAGGCCCATGTAAGAGGCCACCAGGTTAGGAAAAACTATAAGAAGATAATCTGGTCTGTAGGCATTTTGGATAAGGTTATCCTGCGTTGGAGACGGAAAGGAAGTGGTTTGCGTGGTTTCAAATCTGAAGCACTTACTGATGGTTCCAGCATGCAAGTTGTATCATCAAAGGATGACGATGATGATTTCCTTAAAGAAGGCAGAAGGCAAACAGAAGAAAGATCACAAATAGCCCTTGCAAGGGTGAAATCCATGCATCAGTATCCAGAGGCAAGAGAACAATATCACAGGCTGCGTAACGTTGTCGCTGAGATCCAGGAGACCAAGGTAACAGGTTACTATTTTATTTTATTTTTTTACCTTGCGACTTGCTTGATAGTTGTTTTCCATTAGGGACAACGATGAAGGGTAGTCATCTCACTAAACTATATAAAATACATTCATTATGGTAGCTCCTGGTCTAGCCTCTCTCTTCGGGATTCTATGCCAAGTCAGGTTTTTATTGGTAGAAGTAGAACATTCTTGGAAATAAACAGTTCAAGATAAGCAGACCAGCTGCTTCTTTTTTTAATTTTATATATATATCTGGAAAGTGATCCGTGGACTAGGTTGGAAATCAAGGGAAATTATACAAATTTTCAAACCACCTCCTCTGCAATTGTGGATAATAAGATTCAAATGAACTGTGGACGTGTAAACCTGTGGGAAAATGTTCTAAATTTCTGAATTGGTAGTGTCAATGACAACCATCAACTTTCAAAGGGATGCAGCAAACACTATTTTGTTTATCTGATTGAATTATGATCTGTAAATCTAACAGGCTATGTACGAATGGGCAAACAATTCTGAGGCGATGGCAGAGTTTGATGACCTGATCGATCTTGAAACGTTATTGGATGATGACACTTTCATGCCTACAGATCCTTGAGCCAACCTTGGGTTATCCTCTTTGATTAGATGCCGAAATTTATTTGTAAATGTCCCTATTGAGTCTCCTAATTATAACTGAAGTAGGTTAGGAATGTATCTGATGGAAGCAGTAGTGCTGTATTGTCTTAGTGCCAATCTTTATACAGTAATGTGTATTATTAAGTTGTAATAAGAACTGAAGTCGGAAGAGAGAAATGGTATATGATGAACAAACTTGAGTTTTTTTAGTACTAGCAAGTGATTTGCTTTCTTGAGTTGTATTCTTAGGGATTTTGAAGTTTTTTCTACCATAAACAATTTGAGTTCAGTAGGGTCTTTTTTGAAGTTAAAAAAAAAAATTAGCTGGCATCAGCCATAGAAAATCTGCAATACAGAAATTTTCTTAGAACGCTTCAAGTATAGTCTATGAGTTGTATTATTTTGAGAGTTACAATTTTATGATGAACACTAGCCCCTCTTTTCAAAGTGAAATGTTTTAAACTTCCAATGATTGTAAACTGAAATCTTGATAAGAAAATGCCTTGTTAAACTTTAATGATAACAATGCAATAAAATAAAACAAGATTATTGATTGTTTTATTTTATAAAATAATTAATTTTTTACTGACAGGTAGCCTGATAATTTTTTATTGGATCATATTTTATTTTCGAAGTACAACACAAGCTTTTTGATACGTTAGGAAAATAACCATAAACAATGTAGAGTTTATTACTACTATTATGTTACAAAGAAAATAAAGAATTTATTTTCTTTGTAACATAATATTCGTAATAAATTCTACATGGTTTATGGTTATTTTCCGTTCTTTATTTTCTTTGTAACATAATATTAGGAATAAACTCTACATTGTTTATGGTTATTTTCCTAACGCATCAAAAAGCTTGTGTTGTATTTCGAATATATATATATGTGTGTGTATACACGCGCGCTCTCGGTGGTGTATATGGGAGCGCGGATGGCATAACCAAATATTAATAGCTTCTTAAATGAGAATAGAGGTAGATGGCTCGAAATAGTGGAAATTCTCAACATCCGAAAAGCGTTCTGTTTGTTAGATCTTATTTGTTCCTCCTCTCTTTCAAAAAGAGAACGAAACTACATCGTGCAGCATTTTGCTTTAACGAGTAATTTACATTGTAAGAAAATCCTTGTTAAACTCAACGAATTTTCGATCAAAATTAAACAAGGAAGAATTCTTTTATTACCTTTCTGCTCCTAAAGGAGGAACATCAAAGATTCGTCACCTCGCCTCAGTGAATCTACCTACTGTTATTTACGATTACCACCAAATCAAAACATGCACGAGGAGGATTCACTGGAAAGAGAGGCCCTAAATTTTTGCCTGGATTGATGGCAAATTCAGAAGGACCCTGGAGGTTAAAAGGCTGGGAGAGAATGGAAAGCATGTTACGCATGATGATTAACGACCAAAATCAAACCTAACAAGATCTAGGAATATAATGAACAAATTCACTAATTCGAGGATTGCTCCGACCAAATTCCAATTGGATTGCATTTCTGTTGTTGAAACATTCTCAACCATGAACAATACAAACCTGTCAGTGAAATTTTCAACCCATATACACTGCTCTTTTATCCTCTTATTCCTCTGGAAAAACACAAAGGATGGTGCTTCCACCATCCACTGTACATGGAAATAACCCAAGTATACATTTGTCACAATCCATATCATCATCATCATCATCATCATCTCAAATGTGGATATTTGAGAGCTCTTCCCATTGGTTGAAGGGCAAAAGGGAAAAGAAAAAACAATAATAACAGATTAAACAAAAGATGAGTCCAGTCCAAATGATTTAAATACCTACTTGTAAAACCAAATGCTCCCTCTTCTCAACTCTTGTTGTTACTAGCACCAATGCTCTCGTAAAATAAGATATACCCATGATCCGTATTACTCGAATATTCCTGCGCTGACCCAAAAAATGTCTGCACAGCAGATTCGTCAATCATCTCAACATTTTCGTCATCGAAAAATAACCAGTGGTTGTGGCTTTTCACAAGGCTCACATAGTGCCCATGATTAGGTCCACTTCCTACATGGACAACAACAGCAAATAGCGAGTATTCAATATCTGCATCTTCCACAGTATTACTCAGCTTCAGCTCAAGTGGAAAGACAACTCGGTAAGACAACTTCTTGTAACGACCAAGCTGCTCAATGTATTTAAACCTTTTCAGATGGATGACCAAGATGTGAGGAGGCTTCTTTATCTTCATCCTTTTTTGGGCTTCTTGCAAACTGCATACCGAAAAAAAAAAAGAAAGATTGAATGCATAATTACTACACCAGAAATGTTCGACGGCTTGACTGCTCCAAAACATCAGAGGTAGACCCATAATCCATATTAAAAGTTGAAAGTTTAAACACCTTGTTAAAGATTAAAAAAGAATCATAAAAATGCTGTTCAGCATGCTAGAATGAGTGCTATGTAATATTAAAAAACATAATAAGATTTTCCTGTTCTAATGGAAAGACACCAAAACTTTAGTTGGAACAGCTATTGTGATTTGTGTTGTCAAATTATATTTGCCACAGCATAGCACAGAGCTAACAACATTTAAGCATTTTTCAACGTAAGCCATCTTACACTCAACTATTCAACAATCAAAATTCTTCACCCTTCCTTACACAATTATAAAATTAGTTAAAAAAAAAAAAGCAGAAAGTTCTTTTGTTGTGTATCCCCATACAAGCCCAGTAACAGCAGATCCAGCAGATATAGAGAACCCCACCGTAAATGGAGTTCATAAAATTTCATTGTCTCTTCAACAAAATCCTTCATGTATAAGCTTGAGCTTCATGCCATTACATTTAACTTTATAAATGTATGCACACATGAATGGTCAGTTCAATTTAAGGAGCATACTGTTCATTTGCCTTCTTTGCATACAGCTTGATATGTTCTTTATTTCACTTTCTTTAATTTGTAAATTGTAGATCAGAAACCTTTCAGGAATCAAACCAAATCATGAGACTCAATCAGCTTTTTTATTTTCCACATACCTCGTTTTAGAGGGGGAAACAAAGCCTTTGAGCTAATAAACAACAAAACTAAATCATTTATCACGATCCCTTACATGAGAATAGAATATAATTTATATGATCTTTGAATGCTTTAGTGTCACTGTCATCTCTTAGCTAGGCTCTGAGCAAGAGTAACTGTCCAGGTGAGTGAAATCTCATACTGTATAATTTCAGAAGAAACTATGACTAAACTGTACCATACAGACCACTCAGAAACAAATGCAAGGACAGAAAGCTGGTTTCAAACTTTCAGCAAATATAAAGGTGATTATCCAGGACTTACACAAGTCAATGCCAGATGATAATTGGGCAAAAAGCACCTACCTGCAGCACTTGTCACAGAAAAACTTATCCTCTGCATTCAAAGTCTCTGTGGAACTAAAATTCTTCAAGCAGCTTGTTATGGAACTGTTTTGTTCGATATCAAGGCTCAAGTCAAAAAAAGTTTCATCTCTTGCTGTCACAGTCTCACATTGCAAGCACCTTGTCTCGTTGGTAAGTATTCCCTGATGTATATACACATAAGAGGTGATGAGAACTCTACCATAAAGGAGGAGTGAATCAATGAAGAGAAAAGAAAAGGGCAAATTCCATCTACATACAACAATGCACAAGTAACTAAATAATTCACATAAAGTTCATTCAATTACTTTAATGATTCGCAACATACAAAATGTCGAATTTAGAGTGCATGGATTGGCCAGGCAAACTGACCTGAAAATTTTTGTGCACCCAGGTAACCAAAGGCTCTTTTGAAATGCCATTTGCTTGAGCATGCTTTGGTCCATTTGCAGTTTTTTCAGGCGGGGAAGAAGTTTCAGGATCACTTTTTACAGCTTGGGCCTCTTTCTCCAGGATGTCAACCAGTTCATTTAGCAAAAAATTCAAAAACTCATGAGCATCCTACATGAGAAACAATAAAAACAGAGAAATTTTCATTCCTCTTTGTTGTTTTACTATATCATTTTACATTTTGTATCTGATCAGTCCCCAGACTCGAATCAGATCAAAAGAAAGCATACCTGGTGCATATAGCTTCGGAAAAGCTCATTTTGTTTTTTCAATCTCTGTACGAAACGCTTTGGAGCAATGACGCCTGTTTTCTTCTTCTGTGAACTTATCTATGCAAAAGAAATATCATCAGTTAGCTCCAGCACCATGGCTGAACTACTAAATAAGCAACAAATATATGTTGTGTGTACAAGGAACTCTTCTTTCCCATCCCTTTCTCAGTAATTTAGTGAAAATGCACACAGCAGATGAGCATGCAGAAAGCATACAAGTCCCCAAGAAATTTCTTGTTCATAAGATTGCTATGAAAGCTATTAACAGTAAGCCAAGTAAAAAACATCAACAAACACTTAGGTCTGGCTTTTTCTAGGTCTTGATTCTTGAAAGAAAAAGAATTGAAAATAATGACAAAGGAAACTAGTTCTAAAATTAAAAGAAAATAGATTTAGAACCCAACAAGTCAAGTTCTAATTAAGTTCCTAATCTAGAACAGCAAAACCCGTGAAGTTGTCTGATTTGATCTAAGCATGAAATAAAACTTCAGAAAAACATGTCAAGCAAAAAATCCTTCAAAATGTATTGCATGAACAAAGGAAACATTGATAAGAAGATACAAATATCATGCGTCCCAATATAGGATACCGAATCAGCTTTTTTTCCCTTTATGGACAAACCATGTAAAAAGCATTTAGAGAAATATTTGCAGCTAAAATGGGCTAAAAGGACTATATTAACATCCATTTTTCTTCTACTAACAAGCAACGCAATTATTTCCTCTCCTTTTGACATGAAAATTCAACATAAAGGAGATGATCAAGCTACGAACAAGCACCAAATGAAACAGAAAAAACAGAAAAAAAAAAAAAAAAAAAAAAAAACATAAACTGGCATACAGAAAAGGAGAAAACAAAGAATTGACATAAATAGCAGAGGAGATGTAGAGCTTAAAAAAATTCTACTTGTCTGTATAATCATGCTGTAAAACTCAGAGGAAAAGGTTCCATAAACACTTGAAAGAACAAAAAAACAATTTCCATGTTGTATCTTGCAAGAGCTGTTACCAGAAAAAGAACATCAAAACACCATCCATGGAGTCATTATTATTACCTGAGTAAATAAGTCTGCCAAGCAAGTCAAGAGATTCTCTTCAGCATCCCCAATATTTTTACCATTAGCATAATATTCTAACAACTGTTCTCGAAATGGTACACAGAAGTAAAGCGCCTGCATCATGAAAGGAAAAAAAAAAACTGCTTTCAAAATAGTACATCCCTTTCGCTATGGTTATAATCCAAATACAATGACTTAAAATCAAAATCCAATACTCTTTCCAAAAAGACCCGCATGAATTTTGACAAAATGAAGCCATGATTCTTTAAAGAAACTAACTAACAAACAAGGTATTAATTACCAGCAACAAGTTAAAGTTCCCAAGAGAACTAGAGAACTGCGACCGTGTGCACTAGAAAGTATAAAAAATAGTATTTCCATGAATTGGCACACAAAATTTTGCATTTAAATTTTCAATTCCAAACCTTATAAAACCTGATTTTAATACTACTGAATGAAAAGCTAATTTTAATACTACCGAATAAAATTGAAGGCTAAAACGTAAATGCCTCACGCCTACCTAACTAAAGCAATGGATTACAAATCAAATTATCAAATTCAAGGACCAAATAAAAAAGTCAAATAATCAACAGAACAGCAACTATTTTTTTTTTAAAAAAAAAACGCTGAGGTAGAAAATGAATTAAAGCGGGAGAAGATTGAAATTGAAGAGAGAAAAAGAGACCTGCAAGACGCTATTGCAGTAACAAGTGTTGCCGAAATTCTCGAGGCCGAAGTATCGTTCGCCTTCAGGAAACTGGTCGCCTAAAGCTTTCTCGAGTTTAGAACCTGCTGCACCCATTACTGCATCGATTGATTCAACTCAGATCCCGATTCAAATCAACGATTCAACAATCCTCATTAACGAAGAAGGCTCTCTGTCTTTGTGATTTTGTTTGGATGTGGATTGTTGGTTAGGGTTTGTTAAAGAAATGAGAATTTTGCTTCTGATTTTGTTGGAAGTGCAAGGAAAGGAAAGGAAAGGAAGGAAACGAGGGTTTCCGTTTGTCTGGTATGGTTTTGCGTGAGAGAGAGAACGAAGAGAAAATGGTACTAATATTTATTTTTCCTTCTTTTTTTTTTTTTCCTTAATGGAAAAGAAAAATACTAGAGCTTAGCCAGAGACGATAAAGACTATAGTTTATTATAAAATTAGTCCTTGTAGTTTAACAAAACTAAAAAATTAGTTCTGAACATTTAGAAACTATTATTTGGTCCCCATTGTTATAAATCATTTATAACTTGATCCTTTCCTTTCATGTTTTTTTTTACCTTTGTCATTTATTTTGTTATTTTGTTATTTATAAGAAACAGAAAATAGGAAAGGTAAATAGGTAAGATGGAAAAATTGGGTGAACAAAAAAGGCATTTTAAAAACAAACTATTAAATTTAGAGTTAAAGGAATATTTATTTATTTTATTGTAGAGGCTTAATTGATTAATTTGAACTAACTACAAGAACTAAGTTATAATTAACATAAAAATTAAACACTACCGAAATAAATAAATTAAAAAATAGCTTGTAAATTATCAACCTTTTCAACTTAATTTATGGTGTGTTTTGAATCTATATTTTATTATATGTTTTCGTTTTAATATATATATATATATATATATATATATATATTAGACAATCATTAACAAACATAAACGAGGGACTCAATTGAAGAAAATCAAATTGAGAAAATTAATAGTTTAGGAAGCTAATCGAGAGTTAGTAGATAGCTGGGGGATTAATATGAGGTTTGTCTTTAGATAAAGCAATATTACAAGCGGCGAATAACCTTTTGCTGTTACCTGTTAGCACTTCATGTCGCGTGTCCCGAACAGCCAATGTGGACACCCTCGCAGGACGACAGACGAAAAATACGAGTCCGACCTGTTCGGTATTATTCATGGATCGCGATGATAAGTTTTTTAATTTTTAATTTGGCTGTAAAATACTTCTTATCTTATCTAATATAATTAACTTATTTTAAATAAATAATTTTGAATTTATATATATATATATATATATATAACGTTATATCTTATAATCATGATATCGTTTTCTAATCCAAACTTAGAAAAAAGGAAAAAACATAAAGTAATAAATAAATAAATAAATGAAAGGAATTGTCATTGCATATAATTTTTATTTTCATTGAGTATTCTAACTCTGATAATAACTTTTTATAATAAAATTTTATTGTGCATGACGCCATTAATTTGTAATAAAACAGAAAATGTAATTACTTTCAAGGGAATGTCAACAGAATATGTTCACTAATTTTAACGAAATTTGGAATAATGAAGTACAACTTTAAAACTGTGATGATGAATTATTCGAAAAAATCTCTTCGAGCAGTATTGTTCATAATCAATCTAATAATATTTTGTTCAAAAAATGTACTCTATTCTCATAAATCATATTTATTTATTTATTTATTTTTCTTTTTTTAAAATTAAAAATCAAAATAAATGGAAAAAAAATAAGTTACAAAATAGATGTTTAAATCATTTTAAAAAACTAAAAGAGCTAGTTTATAATTTATTTTTTTTCTGGGTCAACGATCAGCATAATAAAATAGAGTGTGACAAAATAAAATATTTAAAGCAAGATAATTTGTCATTTCAAAATGAAATAAAGAAAGTGAGAGAGACTGGAGAGAGCGGCTATTGGGCGAGGAGTGCCAACATCACCTCCAAGACTAAGGCCTAAATAACATAAAATAAAAGGACTACATATTTGACAATGGTGAATTGGTGATGCTTCTAAAACACTTGCTTGGTAAGAAACAGAAAGAATAAAAATAAAAATTTTATCCTCATTTTTATAAGTGTTGGTTGAAAGAAATTAACCGAAAATGAAAATAATGAATGGAAATAAAAATGATAGTTTTATTTTCATATAAGGAGATGAATATAAAAAAGGAATGCAAATGGGATTTTTTTTTTCAAACCAATGATATATTATTTTTATTTATTTTTTACTATCATCATCACTTCCACCACCATCATTGTCACCTTTATTGGCAATCATGATAAGTTTTTTTAAAAAATATTATTATTATTATTATTTTATCATTATTACTTTTTCATCATCATCATTATTTTTATTATACTACCATCATCTTCATTTTTTTCCTACTGCCACCTCCTTATAATGGTGGCATCAATTGTTTTTAACATATAACAAAATTATCGGCAGGTTTACGTAAAGTGTGATGGAAAGGGTATTTTTCAAGTCGTTTTATGAGAAAAAACAATTTCAACTAAAACATAATTCAAATTACTTTACTAAATTTATAAACATTACTCAGTCAAATTACTTTACTAAATTTTATCAAGCATTTCATATGCATGCATCATAAAAGTTAATAACATATGAAAAAAAATTAAAATATAATTCTCACTATTTACATATAACAAACTGTAATTACCTTTTAGTGATATCAAGTTTGGACTAAAGAGAGTTCAGTGATCGATAAAAGGATAAATGGATTTTGATGCTAGCTTAGTTCAGTATATAATAGACTTAGTCTCAGTTAATACAAAAACTATCTCCAAAATATTCTACCATCTATAAATATATATGTAAAAATAAGTAAATAATGCAAAAGGAAAGTAATATATGAAAATAGCACATAGCAGACATGCGTAGCCACATAGCTGGCACAAATAAAGTTTTTTTTTCGTTTTTTGTGCGAATAGATGTATATATTTGTTGATAAATGTTCATTTATTGCATCAGTCAGTCGAACTACGGCAAGATAACTATAAAACATGATTTTTATTTTTTAACTCAAACAGACCAATACTAAAATGTACTGCATGAGATGAATTTTCATCAATTTCATTTAAACGACATCATCAAGAAGCATGCGTTTTGGTTGAGAAACAAATCAACTTCATCCTTCCAAAAAAAAAAAAAAAAAGATAAAAACCTTCATCAACTTCTTGTTTACATTCAAATCATCAATCTTTAATGAAGAATAAACAAACTAACTTACAGATCAACAAAATTCAAAAAGATGCAGGAAGGAAAGAAAGAAATTCATGCAATAAAAGAAGGAGATGGAATACTTGAATGAAGAAGCCTTGACCAATGCTTTACAGAGTTATAAATTTAAAAAGAAAAAAAACGAGAACAGAGAGAGGAGAGGTTAAAAAAGGATAGTTTATTACAAGAAAAATAACCCAAAATCCTTTTTTGTCAGAAATACTGTTTTCCAGAATTAAGAAGGACTGGGTCCTTCTTTGACGTTAGAAGGCATTAATCAAAGGTAGCTAGAGAGGACCCAGATTTTGGAAAATATTTAGTTGTTGTAGTGGTGTGTATATATATATATATATATATATATATATAAGAAAAGCATTATCAGTGGGAGTGGTGTTTTTCATAAATTTAGATTTCAATAAACGAGGATAAAGTGCATTAATGAGGATTTTGATAGTTGGATAAATGTTCCAGCAATGGTGGGTTGTTGGTGATGGTCCAAGAGATTAAAAAAAGAAGAAGAAGAAGAAGGAGATTTAGTATGGATTATGTTTATATATTATGCTAATAGTAGCTAGTAATGTAGCAAGTGAAGAAATTGTGACCTAAAAAAATGATTTCCTATGATTTTCCTTATTAGTGATGGATTGTTGTTTGTGGTGGCAGGAGGGTCTTTCATATTTGCCATGATGGGACGACATGCCTTTGGTATTTAGGTAGACTATTGCAGTGGCCCGCATGTTGTTTAATGCGCATTGAATACGTTTTTTATGAGTTAATAAAACCTCAATGCCCTTTTTATGCTTAAGAAAATAGTATTATTTATTTATTTTAATGACAATTAATTCATGAATATACATGTATCCTCTCTTTATCTTATTAATACTTATTACTTACATGTTAACATAAAAAAAATATACCAAAACACAAAACTTTAAAATAAACAAAAAAACGAAAAAAAAAAAGCAAACATATATATTTTATTTGTAAAACTGGTATGGATTTAGAAAATCATTAATTAATATGTTATGTTATTATTTTTTATTCGAATCTTTTTTTAAAAAAAAATTCTTTATTAAAAATAGATCAATTATAAAATAAAATTTAATTAAAAAATACATGATTTATATAAACTAATAATTAGTTATTTTTACAACTCTAACCAACTATTCCGCTACCTCTAATAACATTGAAATTTATAGTTTGAAGCTTTTGAGTGTGTATTATGGTAAAATTTGCAACAATTGTTTTTTTTTTTTTATCAGTTTACAAAAATATTCAAACTCAAATCTAGGCGAAAATGAGGATCACAACTAAACCATTGGACTCTTGACTTATTGGCACAACATGCATGCTTGCGTAGGCAATTGACTTACAACAAAAAAAAAAAAAAAAAAGAATTATTCTACCTTGCCTTTTGAAGAAGGTTTAGATTATGTCAATGAAGGCTTGCGAGAAATTTAAGTTGTTTTATAATGCAATCAAATCTTTTTGGGTCACCAAATGTTAAGATGAAAGTGGATTTTTTTTTAATATTTTTTATGATGAATATGCATTTGATGAGGTTAAAAAGATAAAAAGATTATGCATAATATAGTATTATGGATATTAATTTTAATGTTCGATCAAAATCCATCAAATCCATAGTCGTAAATAGACAACTGGTTTGATGAAAGTATGAATCAAATACCATCGGAGAAAAACTGGTCTTAATAAGCATATTAATTAGGTATATACCTTGATGTTGTGAACTTGTTCCTAATAAAACTTTATTAGTTTCTCGCTTTTTGACCTTGCGAATAAGATTCTCTACCACCTAGCTAGCTAGTCTCTTTTTTGTTTCTTAATTTAAATAATCCGATTAATTTTTTTATTCCTATGTGCTCTAGGGATGGCAATCCCCATCCCTGCCCCCGCCCCCTTAAAAAATTTTTCATCCCCGCCCGTGACTCGAACGGGACAGAATTTATCATCTCATTCCTGTCCTAAACGGGGACAAGGATCCCTACGAGACAAACGAGATCCCGTTTTACTATTTGTGTCCGTCCCATCTCATCTCATTTTGTTCCGTTTTGACAGATTTTATAATAAGCACATACAATTTGTATAATTTTGTTTCCCAAATAAGAGATCCAATCACACAAACTCTATTATAAGTCGCTATTGACAAGATAAAACGAAGCAAGATGGGCAAATCCCATTCCCATTCAAAAAAATTGCGAAGTGGAGCGACTTAGAGCCGGTTCATTTTGCCATTCCTGATGTACTCTTTGTTGGTTTTTTCCTCGATAGCCCTCCACCCTTTCTTCAAATATTATGCAGTCTTTTGCTGTAAAATAAATACAATCGGCACGAATTAAAGCAACCCGACAAAATTCCATTCACAAATATTCAAACAATCGAAACCAAACTCATTAATAAGACTCAAATAATTAAGACATATTTAAAATAGAAATTAAAATAATACCCACACATTCATCATAAGAAAACTCAAAACTTCAACCACCATCAATATTGCAAGAATAGCTATATATATTTAATAACTCACCTTTCGATATTCTAATTTCCAAAATTTATATTAAATGAATGAAATCAATTGCTATAAATGGAAATAATTGCAATAAGACAGTTGTAAAACGAAGGAGAAATGACAAAATTACATGCATGGTCTAGAAAGTTCTTGATTCTAATTATTGCCCACGTTAACTATAAACACATAATACACCAAATGGATTCGTGTAAATTTTCTATTTTTACAATACATATTGATGGACATATTATCCACATTATGTTCAATCCAAAACAGTTGAACAAATTTAATATATCAATTGAACGTGCATCTATTAAAATAAATAAAAGGAAGACTTACATTTGTTAGCATTTAACAATAAAAGGAAGATTTCAAGGCTGACGACATCTGATGGTATTTGAATGAATTATATCTCAATTATTAAAATTTATAACAAATAGATAAAATCTTTAAAAAAAGATAAACAACTGTAAAATCTTTCGACATTTGCCTGAACTGATCTAATGCAACTTGCTTTGTTTTTCAAAATTGTTCTAATAAATAATAAAAGAAATAAAGATATCTCCTAATAAATTTAATCAAGAGTAATCCAACGATAGAAAATGAGAGTTTTCACGATTAGAGGAAAAAAAAAAAAAAAAAGAAAAGAAGAAGCTTTCCAAGCTACCATGAGTTTTTTTAAGGTTTTTGGTTCGTAATAATCGATGTCATGAACTCATATGATCTAAGAACATGATAAAACAATAAAACAAACTTTTATTATTTTAGTTTTTCTTTTTGCAATTAATTAGTAATTTTGGGTAAGTTTTTAAATATTAAAACCAAATTTAACTTTTCAGTTCGAAGTAATTTTATTCCTATCAACATTAGAGTATTTCTAAAATAATTACTATTTATAACCTTGCTTCAGGTTTTAGTAAAAGAAAAGCACATCCTTTTGACCATATGCCAACCCCTTCATGTTACTATTCTAGCTTATAAAGTATGTAGATGATTAACCATTGGATAAGCTCAAAGAATTTTTAATTTTCTAATACAATAAAGTAGAAATACATAGTCAAGATTTATTATTTTTTTAAAAGAGTAAATTCAAATTAGTTCTTCGACCATATAATGATTCTAATTGAGTTTTAAATAATTTTCAAATTATATTCTCTAAGTATTAAAACATTGTAACTTTTAATAAATAATTTGTGAAAATACAGGCACCGTTCATGTAGCACTGTTACATCTGAAAAGTATAAAAAATCTTGCAAAAACTCAATTAGAACCGCGATAAAATTGAGGACTAATTTAAGCATATAACAAGTCGTATTTAGACAAAAAAAAGATATTTGATGCATCTGGAGGGATTTGATTGAAATCTTTTCAACTTTAGGCAATCTAATTAGAAAAAAACAATTCTTTAAGGACTAATTTGATAATTATCATATAATTGAATGACTAATTTGAGAAATAAAATGGCCTTATCTACTCTGCCCTGGAAGCACTAGAGCAAGGCCACAGTCTCAGAGCGAACCCAAAGAAAAGAGCCATGCTGAGCCTTTCTCCACTTACTTTCCCTCCAAAGCCCTTATCTATAATCCCAAAATCAAGCTTCTCCGGCATCCAAATCCGCCACAAATGTCCCATTTCAGTTTTTCCAGCCTCCATCAAGATGACGCGGCCTTCCGCAGTAATGATGGCGAAGAGAGAAGAAGAATTGAAGGAAATAAGAGCTAAGACTACCGAGGAAATTAATGAAGAGGTTGTTGATCTTAAAGGAGAACTCTTGATGCTTCGGCTTCAGAGATCTGCACGGAACGAGTTCAAGTCCAGTGACTTTCGCTGCATGCGCAAAAGGGTACCTTTCTTACTCCCTTCTACACTGTTTTATGTTTTCTTTCTTCTTGCTTGTTAGTTCAAATTATGAAATATGTCTTCTTGGTTTGCTTTATTTTTCCATGAAACGCTTGCAATTTTGTTTCCTATGTTGTTTTCTTAGTTGTTTGTTTTTATAAAGCTCGAGTGAATTGGGATTAGAAATGGCAACAAGAGTTCTTAAGGGGAAGGAAATGGGAATTTTGAGCTGGTTATTTCAGATTCTGCTTTGTGGGGAACTAGGCTTCCCGGCTGCATTGCGTTGTGAAAATGTAAGAATGCCTTGCTTTAGATTATTAGGACTGTTAGTGTTTGTGGATGCTCGTTGCAATTTAATTAGTATTGGAGGGTTGATATGAGAGGCTTTCGACTTCTGATGTGAATCTTGTTTGTTTTAATATGCGAAGATGTCGTGGTAAGACTTGAGTTTTAAGGCCTAGAGAAAATGGCTGGAGTAATCAATGAGGTCTGATGCTGGAATGGGTATAATTTTTTTCTACTTTCATCAATTTATGGTTCTACATTTGTGGAAAAGTGGAATTTTACACTTGTTACTGCGAGCCATGAAAATGTGGAATGGGTGCCTTTTAGCTTTTTTATGGGTGAAATATACACCATGCCCTTGTAAGGTCCAACATTGTTTATTTTAACCCCCCTACTCAGGTATGGTACAAAACAAACTCTATACTACTTAAAGTTGGGACAAACTAGCCTTTCCATCCATCTTTGTTAATCACTTGTCATCATGTGACTGGTCAGATGTTGGATGGAAGGGCTGGTTTGTCCGAACTTTGAATAGTACAGGGTTTGTTTTGTACCTTACACGGGTAGAAGTTAAAATGGAAAAAATCTGGATAGTTAAAGGGCATGAGGTGTATTTTACCCTTTTTTATAGACCTTCCTTGCATGTCTTTTCATATTTTGATAGATGACATAGCTCGAAAGTTTTAGTAGACTCAAATTATGAGGCTCCGGCTTTCTTATATGCAACACCTTCTCATTGTTTTAAATGTTTATTTGCCCTTCCTTGTTAGTTGAAACTTGTTTGAACAATTAACTCGAAATAGTTTGTTCTGTGTATCTGGAAAAGCAAATGGCAACAAACACATTTCCGACTCTCCCTGGAGAAATTATTAGATACTTAGCTCCCCTGCTCGCATAAAGTGGGACCCACTTTTATGTGAATGGAGAAGCAATACACTGGGAGTATCTAATCATATCTCTCTGATTTGGATATCATTAACTCTATTTTACTTTCTGATGTTCTTGGCTAGCATTGTGAGAGAGGAATTTTGATGCATATAAACGCATAGCCATGAAATTTGGAATGGGTGCATTTTGTTTTTCACTTTAACTTCCCACATCAGCTTCTTTATTTGATCAATGATAAAGCTTTTTTTTTTTTTTGTGTGTGTGTGTGTGTGTGGATATGGATGAACAATGAGCACTTGTGGATTTTCTCACAAATTTCTTTTTGTCCATTGGAAAACTGGGCATACATTCTTAAAAATATACGCTTGTTGTATTCATGACCTAAATCATTGCTTTGTATGTCCTCATTGGTAAATTATCTTGCAATGGAATTCTTATGTGAATGATTAAGCTGGAATTTGTGGTCTCATTTGGTTAAAGATCTATTTCTATCGTCATCAACAATCATTTTTATTTTAAGCCTCTGGGGTTGCTGTATTTTGGATTTTGGTAGTATTTTGCTATCTTGGTCAAAAACTAGAATAATGCTAAAGTAATTATTGTCCTTTCTAGCTAGTACTCAGGAAACTTCTTTGAAACAAGAGAGAATGGTAACATGTGTGCTACCTGAGTGCATTATCAAGAGCATGGTAATGAGTTAATTTTTTTCATAGGACACCTTAAAACACCTGTATCTAACACTTGGACCTTTAAAAAAGCAGAAAATGTTCTAGAGTTTGACAGATCCAAATAGTCACTAGCACAAGTCGTTCTAATGTATGCCGGACTGAAAGGAAGAAACTTATCATTGTATCATTATACTCCATGTCCTTGATAAGATGTTGAATAGGATAAGCCTCCTGAATATATTATGGCAACGATGGGATGAGGGCATACTGTTTTGGGAATAGTTATGGCATGTCATGACATGCTACAAAACAATAAGGAGTGAAAATGATGCTCTGCAATTTGTGTAGCTATTATGCTAACCCCATTTCCCACATTTTCACTTTCATGCCTTCTCTCTATGTTAACATGTTCTTTGAATATTTTATTAATATCAAAGCTCATTTGGCACTGTGAAGTTCTTTGGGGATTGCTTCAACTTATATATGGGAGTAGGCTAAAGCAGCAGTACCCTCCGTCCCTACCTCTTAATTCAATATTGAGGAGTGTGTTTTATTGATTACAGATTGCTCGCATGCTTACTGTTAAGCGGGAGAGAGAGATCGAGGAGGGGGTTGGCAAGAGGCTGTCAAGAAAGCTGGACAGGCAATGGAAGAGAAGCATTGTTGTTAGACCACCTCCCTCTCTGAAGAAATTGCAAGAGGAAGAGGCAGCTGAAGAAGCGGAAAAATCTGCTTGAGCCAAATCTAATGTATTATTCCTCAATGAATATAGTTTACTTTCAAGATGAGTGTTCTCCTTAACTGATTGCTTAATTTTGTTGATAGTTATGCTCCTCCCTTCGTTCCCTTCATTCTTTCGTCTATCCAATGCCTCGCCTTTTCTTCATCAGCAAAGCACAAATTTCGTTTAATAACTTGCTTGAATATTATTGAGCAACAAAGTTTTACTTATCCATGAAAATTTAAAATTCAATAAAAAGTCTATTTATTGCAAGTTTTACAGGATTTGCTTAAAGAAGCAGTTCTTTTTCTTACATCATTCTCAATTTTTTTTCTTTGCAAAAAAAAGAAAAAAAAATTGAGAATGATGTAAATTTTATGGCCAAAGACCGAAGGAGCTTGAATTCTTCTTCTTTAAAGTATTTTCTAATCCAAAATGAAACAATGACGTAGATGCTAAATAAAAAAGTGGTTTGTTAATTTTAATTGTTTCTTTATAAATTTAAAAATCTCTAATTTACTCGTCGACCTAAAAAAAAAGTTCTTATGTTATGAAATAATGAATGTTTATTTTATATTGTCACTACTTATTATTTTTAATATGATTTAATTTATCATTCAATTTAAAAATTGAAAAGATAATGCAATTGATTCAATTATTTATGTATATTTAATGGTTCATAGTCTCTTTCAATTTTCTTCCTAATCTTGAACTTTATAAATAAGCTTGATTATTCATTATATTGTGTGTAAGTATTTTGTAGAAATTGAAATAATTGTTTAGAGTTGTTATCTCTAGTTTTCTCTTTTATTTCATAGTGAAATCATTTCTTCATCATTTTTCTCTCAAATTATATTATTGTTACTATTTCTTTTATAATACTTTATTAGCACAAAGCTCTAACCAATCAAGATAATAAACCATGAGGTATGTATTTATCAAAAGATTCAATCATTAGATTTTTTTACACAAGTGCTCTATCAAAAGATCTAAATTATATAGATCATTAAGAGATATATATCTAATTTATTCTTTACTTTAAATTTAATAATATGTAAAGTATACATTTGAAAAACTTGAATGATTTAATATGTAGAATCTAATGATCTAAAATATGTTGTTTGAAAAGCTTTAATTTTATTATTATCTTTGTTATCATTTTCTAACATTATTATTAAATATTGCATTATATAATTTTTATTATATCAAACCTCACAAACTTGATTTTATGGCATTTGATATTTCAAACAAGAATTATTGATTATAAATGCTTGATTCTGAAAAAATATTTTTTATTTTTCATGCCTCAAATATGTTCCTACAGCTTGCAATATCGAGCAAAGGATTTTAAAAATATTATAAATCGATTTCATGTTTTTGAACAAATAACAAGCTATTAATAAAAAATCATGGACTCTGTCTAATTGGTTCTACTCCATTTCCCGAAATAAACATGACAACTTATAATAATTTTAGACATAAATGTGATCGTAACCATAACTATAATCGTGGTTGGAATAATTACTATTTAATCATGATGTTTATAATAATACACCTTACCACTAGATATGGACAAACTATAATGATTACAATAATACATCTTACTATCAAAAGCGAACAAACTATGAAAAAGAAAAAAAGTGGATTAAGCCATCATTTTGAAAATAAAAGCTATTGGTATTGCACAAAGGGACATTAATCATGTATGCGTCGTACATCGAAACATCTCGTTAAGCTTTATCAAGCAATATTGAAAAAAGAAATAGTAAAATATAGAGATCAATTTTATATATCAAAATGATGATAATTGAAATTAATAACTTGTTAACTTTTCTATTTATAAATAAGATGTTTTATATTTTCTTATAATTTCTATTGCATAGAGATACATATAAATTTATTTTACTATTTATTTATTTATTTATGTTTATGAAGAATTTATTTATTTATTTTAATATTATATTTGATATTATCAATCTAATAGAAAGCACTAGAAGAACGAATATATTATTACATGAATAGACAAATTTTGAAAGCTCTAAAAGAACGAATATATTATCACTTGAAGAGATAAATTTCAAAGACTCTAGAACAACGAATATATTATTAATTGAAGACATAAATTTTGAAAGCTTCGAAATGGAAAATATATTATTACCTAGATGAAATTTTTATTATTATAAATAATGTATTATTATCTCCAAAGTCCTATAAACATTTGTTGAGTTTCAAAAATATTCGTCTAAATGGATATCATATCAAGACAACAAATATTGAGAATATTTAATGCTTATATATTACAATAATTATATCGAGTAGAAAATATATATTTAAGTAATTGTCCCCATTCTCTTTTGATCTTTATTACAAACACTTGAATGGTTGAAACAAATGCTATAGTAAACTAGAAATTTACTAATACAAATACTTTTATTGTGTGACATAATTGATTGAGTTATTCTAAGTCTTTTATGATGTGAAAAATTATTAAAAATTTATATGAACATATATTGAAGAGACAAAAAATTCTTCAATTTAATGAATTTTTGTGTTATGTATGTTGATTATCAAGTCATCACCAAGTAAAATTAAGATTAAAACTTCAGTATTTTAGAACATATTAAGGTGATATATGTGGATCAATTCATCCATCATGTGAATCATTTAGATATTTTATGGTTTTAATAGATGCATTCATAAGATGGTCACTTGTATGCTTATTATCTACTCGAAATCTAGCGTTTTCGAGATTGCTAACTCAAATAATTCGATTACGAGCATAATTTCTAGATTATGCTATTAAAACAATTCATCTTGATAGTATCGATGAATTTATCTCCCAAACATTAAATGATTATTGATTGATTATTAGAATAAAGATTGAACAATTTGTTACTCATGTTTATAATCGAAAGGTTTAGTAGGATCATTTATCAAAAAGACTTCAATTGATAGTTAAACTATTGCTTATGAAAACAAAACTCCCTATTTATGTTTAGGGACATGCAATCTTATATGTAGTAATACTTACTCACATAAAACCCACAAGTTATCATAAATTCTCCCTCTTTCAATTGGTTAATGGTCATTAGCTAAATATTTCTCATCTAAGAATTGTTAGTCGTGCGAGTATACATCTCTAGTGCTCCTCCGCAATGAACTAAAATGAGCCATTAAAAGAGGTTGAGAATCTATATTGAATTTGAGTCCTTTTGGATAATTAAATATCTTAAACTATGAATAAAGAATATTTTATAACTTGATTTGTCGATCGTCATTTTGATAAAATAGTTTTTTCAACATTAGGGTAGAAAATAAGCATAATAAGCGATTGAAAATATTGAAAAAAGATTTTACATGAAATACTTTATTTTTACATAATCTTGATCATCGCATAAAATAATATGAACTAGAAGTTCATAAGATAATTTATTTATAAAATGTTAAAGACCAATTGCTAGATACATTCTCGGATTTAAAAAGAGTAACTAAAATACATGTCTCCACCGAGAATGCTATATTAGAATTCTTGTCTTAGAAGGACAATCTATTAATGTCATAGTAAATGAATATAAAGCATGCTTGAAGTTTAGAAAACTGATCGGTTCTAAAGACAAAAATCCTTAAAAGAAAAAAGTAAATAATGAAGATGAAAATATAAAGGATGCAAATATTCACAAAACAATCCAAGATATTTCGATAATAGGCTTTCAATAAAAGTTCAAATGCTTGAGAATGATTAAGAGACTTTGATAAATCATGTCAATACAAGGAGAAAATAAGATAGAAAAAATATTTATTGATAAGATTTTTGCATATAATGTTGCAATTGATATTTTAAATAAAAAGAAAGATTCTAAGCCTAAATTTATAAAAAAAATGTCGACATAAAGATGATTGGTCTAAATGAAAAAAATAATCCAAGTAGAATTATATTCTCTTACCAAACAAGTAGTTTTTGAATCCATGATCAAAACATCCGAAGATGTTAAACCAGTGAAATACACATGGGTATTTGTGCAAAAATGAAATAAGAAAGATGAGATTGTGAGATGTAAAGCAAGACTTGTAACACAAGAGTTTTCACAAAGATCCGACATTGACTATGATGATACACATTCTCCTATAATGGATACAATTATATTTTATTATCTCATTAGTTTGGTAAAATAAATGAAAAAAATTCATATGCATGCATTTAATTAGTTGATATCTATATGAAAGTCTTAGAATGACTTAAGATGCCCGAAACATGTAATACACATTTTCAAAAAATAAATTCCATTAAATTATATAGATCCGTATCAAGATTATTTTAGTATTTTAGTTTTTAAAAATTTAATTTATGCTATATTTTTTATATTTATTTTATATTTTTCAATATCTACTTGTTATTATTAACATGTGTACATGTGGTATAATTGCTTCAATAAATATTTATTGAAATAAGATTACAAAAATAATCATATTTGTTCATGTATTTTTATAAAGAAATTCGGAATGGAGTTTGTGATAATTGTTGTATATGTTGATGATTTAAATATTATCGAGTGTTTGAAGAGATTCCAAGTGTTATAAGTTATATAAAAGGAGAATTTGATATGAAATACCTTACAAAAACGAACTTTTATATTGAACTCAGATTCGAGCAATTAGAAAATGAGATTTTTAATTCATCAATCAATTTATATAGAAAAAGTTCTACAATGATTCTATATAAAGCTCATCCATTGATTAGTTTAATGATAGTTCATTCACTTAATATCCAAAAAAATCAATTTTTGACTTTGAGAAAATAGCAAAGAATTACTTGGTCTTGAAATACCATGTCTTAGTGCAACGAGATGCATTGATATATCTTGTCAATAATATTCGGTCCGATATAGCATTTTTTAAAAAATTTATTAGCAAAAAATATTTGTGCTCCAACACGGAGACATTGGAATGAAATTAAACATTTCTTACGTTATCTCCAAGAAAAAAATTGATATGTTATTTATTTTACTCAAATAAATCAAAGTCGAGTTTAATTGGTTATGTAGATACATGTTATTTATCCGATCTATACAAAACTCGATTATAAATTATTTATGTATTTACACATTGTGATACAACCATATCATGACATTCTATGAAGCAAACTATAGCTGCTACATATTCAAATCATGTAGAAATATCAATTCATAAGGTAAGTCAAGAATGTATTTTGCTAAGATCAATGATCTATCATATCCGAGAGACATATGGTTTATCTATTAGCAAATAAGTTTTAATAATATCATATGAAGATAATGATGTCCGCATAAGTCAATTAAAAGAATAGTACATTAAGTGATAATCTAACGAGACTTATTCACTAAGGCATTACTTATCATAGTTCTTGAGAAAATGGTTTGTAAGAGTGACGTGTTTTTAAAGATTTTAAATAATGTTTTCGATATGAAAAATTTAACATAGAGATTAACGTGTCCAAGAAATATTGTACTATTTTTATTTTATTAGGATTTTTTCCCACTAGTTTTTTTCTAATAAGTTTTTAACGAGATATGTCCCTTGTATAAGGATGAGTGTTATGAAATAATGAATGTCCATTTCATATTAACACTAGTCGCTATTTTCAATGTGAATTACTTCACCATTCAATATGAAAAATTGAAAGAGTGATGCAATTGATTCAATTATTTATATACTTTTAATAGTTCATATTCACAATTTAATATGAAAAATTAAAAAAAATGATGCAATTAATTCAATTATTTATATATCTTTAATATTATACTATTTTTTTCCACTAGTTTTTTTTATAAGTTTTTAACGAGACATGTTTATTGTACAATGTATATTAAAGGATAAGTGTTATGAAATAATAAATGTCCATTTCATATCATCACTTGGTCATTATTCAATTTACTATTCAATATAAAAATTTGAAAGAGTGATGTAATTGATTCAATTATTATATACCTTTAATAATTCATATTCACCATTTAATATGAAAAATTAAAAAATAATATAATTAATTCAATTATTTATAAATCTTTAATAGTTCATATTCTCTTTCAATTCTTTTCTTAATTTTAAAATCAGTAAATAAACTTATTGTTCATTTTATATTGTATACAAATATATTATAGAGATGGAAGAATCATTTATATTTATTATCCCTTATAAACATTTTTATTATTTTTATCTCTCGTTCTATTGTTATTATCGTTTCGCTTATAACATTTTAAAATATATCTTATCCCTAAACACTGCAGTTTCGTATTCTTTTATTTCATTTCATTCGTCCCGCTCTTTTACAGTACACTCCCTTCTCCACTTTTCATCACCGCAAACAACCATGGAGGAAGAATCACCGCCGCCGCCATCAGATCTCCCAAGTCCGAATCCAAACAGTCCCAGGGACCCCGCACTCCAAAAAAAACATCAAGCAATGCTAGACCGCTTGACCAATCGCCACCAATCCCGCCAAAAAACTACCTCCACCACCACTGATTCCACCTCCTCCTTCCTCTCCACATTCACCGACTCCAAACGCTCAATCGAATCCCAACTCACCAACTCGCCCAGCACAACAGATCCTACTCTCCTAAAATCTCATCTCGCCAGTATCTCATCCTCCATCTCCTCCCTTGAAAAGCTGGTCGCTGAAAGCTCCTACTCTCTCCCTTCTTACGAGCTCCGCTCCTCTCTCAAATCCATCGAGAATTTAAAACAATCTCTCGAGAATTTGAATTCCCAACTTCTCCCTAAAAAGAAATTCTCTTTCAGAAACAAATCCACAAATAAATCAAATCATGAGAATTCAAATTCAATTCAAATCCCATCAAATCCCGAGAATTCAAATCCAATTCCAACTCAAATTCCTCTTTCAATTCGCGATTCACCTGGAATTCGAAACAAAGAAAATCAAAATCTTACCAAGAATTTCAAGAATTTTAAAGAGATTGGAGAATTTACGCTGTCGGATTTGGATTCATGTGAAGTGAAATTGATCGGTTGCGTTAACGCATTATTCGTTAACAAATTGAGGAATTGTAGGGTTTATACGGGACCTGTGATTGGTTCAGTTTTGATAGAGGAAGTAGAAAACTGCGTGTTTGTGTTAGCATCGCATCAGATTAGGATACATTATGCGAAAAGTTGTGAGTTTTATTTGAGAGTGAGGAGTAGGCCAATAATTGAGGATTGTGAAGGTGCGAAGTTTGCGCCGTATTGTTTGAGGTATGAGGGGATCGAGGAGGATTTGAGGGAAGCTGGGTTGGAAGAGGAGAATGAGAATTGGGGATATGTGGATGATTTTAAGTGGTTGAGAGCAGTGAAATCGCCTAATTGGTCGGTTTTGGAGGAGAATGAAAGGATCGAAAGTGTGGAGATTGAGGATTCAGGAAGTGCCGAAATGGAAGTGGAGAGTGAGGGGGTTTAAGAATCAAAATTTCAAATAGTTGTTATGCTAGCTTGAGTTCAGGTAATATAATTTTTTGGGTTTTTGCTATGTATTATTTTGTGGGTTGATTGTGTTTCAGATGCTATGTGTTATTGAACTTCGAACGAGAAATGGAAATGACGTTGTGCTGCTTTTCAGATAATCTCGTTCCTATGATTTTGGATTTTGTTATATGTTATTTGTGGATTCCATGTGTTTAAGTTGCTTTTGTTATTGGACTTTGAATGGAAGCACTGTTCGGTCCAATTTACTGTTGATACTCATAAAAAGAACTACCTGATAGATGCTCATTTTTAGCGTAGACGGTATAACTCTCATCATTTTATGAGAAGTTCTGTAAAAAGGAGGGACGTCAGAATGCTTTTAAAAGAAGTTTTGAGGGGCATCTGTGTATATTTGCAATTTTGCAAAACTGCTTCTAAGATTGCTTTAGTGCTCCAGTGCTGAAACCAAGCTGAAACTAGAGGGAAAACCTCTGATAACAGATGGATGATTTGTTACACAAAGAAGAACAAGACGTCATGTCAGGAGTGGCAGCAAAAAATTTAGATTTATTGTTCTTGGAATCTTTACCCGTTAGAATGGTCTTGGCGTGCCACATCTTAAGGCTATCAGAATCAAACTTCATAGGGGTGAAATTAAAAATGTATTTAGTAATTGAATGAAACTATTTTCTTTATTGATTGTAATGAATTTTGATTTTGGTCTTGTTTATGCTGTTAATCCATCATGGCATTTTGTTAAATTGATCACTCCTTAGCATAGTGCTAGGTGATAATTTTCTGGCAGGTTTATTGTCTTTGATGAATATCATTTTGGTTTCTTCCAACGTGGACTCTGTATCTCTTATGATAATTTGTTTTTTTCTTTTGGCAATCCCCAAACCTACTTAAGGAGCTTTGTGTTAACTGCATCTTGAAACTGCTTGAGTAATTTTAAAAAATAAAATGGAAAACAGATTCAAATCTGATTTTGTGATTGGTAAGAGGAGTAGCTGTTATTGGACTTTTAATAAAGAGAATCTGTGGTTGATTTGCCCAATGCCTGCTCTTCAATGGCTTCCATCAATCTAGCAGCTTAATAAATTTCGATGCTTTTTATACTGTTAAATATTCCTCTACCACTTGCTGCAAAATTTTCTGCCCGTTAAATGGAAGAGCTTGGCTTTACGCTGCAAGTTTTATCTTCCTTCTTGCTGCAATAATCGTCCTAGTTCTAATTATTAAGGTCTCTATTGCTATGTGGGGGATATGTTTGATGGTACCCTGTACTTCCATATTGCTGTTTCTTATATGCTTTCTATTCTAGTTACTTCTGTATGCTACAAGAGGTTGTCTTCTGTGGTGCAATTCTAAATATGAATTTATATGCTGGTTTTTTCAGTTAGTTCTGCTCTTATGACAACAATTGTTTAATACAATTGCAGGCAACTGGTTCAACCATTGAAGGTTATTGCTGTCATATGTTTTCCAGATTGTGGTCAAGTTTGCTGTTACCATGGACAGTTTCAAGAATCAGGTTGTTCTCTGGATGCTTAAATTCTTGAACTGTCTGCTGAAAGCGAGTTGCTGCCATGGTCCCCTGGCTGTGCTCTTAGTTTTTTGATTGGATGCTGATGTTTTGCGTCGCGAGTACTTAGTCTGACAAGTTATTATGGGATATATGCCTACTACAGCATTATTGAAGCTAAAGAATTCAATTCCAGAGCTAGTGCTCAGTTGCTGTTGAATTGGATGTGTTCTGGGGATTGTTGCCTTTCTTTGATTGATTCTACATCTTTTGCTGGCCCCTTCTCTGCAATAATGCTTCTAAAATTCATTCCAGTGATTGCTTGTAGTCCGACGATGATTTAAGTGTTGCTGCGTTCTGCAGATGGGATTTTCTGGCATATATATATATAATGCTGTTGGGTGGGTTAACAATACTTTTATTATTCTGTTGTTTAAGAGTATTTGGTAGACTTTATGTTTCTTTTTCCCAAACTTTGTTAACAAGCTTTGACACGGGGGCTTTCAGAGATGGTTCATTTATGTAATGAATCTTTTAGTTTTGCACTTTTGCTAATGAAATCCCTCTTTGCTGTCAAAGAAAAAAATTATAGACCAATCATCTCTTCTTTTTTTTGTAGGCATATTGATTTAGAAGTATGAACTATCATCTATCACTATTTTGTGAGATTTATTTTAAAGACGTTATGGCTGTTCTTGAGCTCAGGTATCACTTACGCTTATTTTTTCCATTTACGGTTCTGGTGGCTGTTGACTGTGCTGAAGATGCAGAAGCATGCTGAATAATCACATCTCTATATTTTACACTGACTATTTAGGGCACCTTTGACCACTGCACATGTTTTGACTTTCTGCTCTGACTTCATTGTTGGCATTTGGCCTTACAGATGGGATCTTGCCAGTTTTACTGTTAATTATTCAAATGAATTTTTTCTCATGTTAAGAAAAGACAGGTGCTTTTCTGAGTTTAATTAATAGTTAACGCGGACTTACTCTCAAGACCCAATCAAAGATTCTTTTGAATCCTTGAATTTGGTGTCTGATGAAAGTTGTTTGGTAAGGTTTTGTCAAATGCTGTGTAATTTCCATTATGGCATTGTCAAAATGTGGGTTGGCAGCAGTAACCTGCTCTGCAATTCACACCTGGAAAAAGTCTTCTACTTTCTTCTACATAGCATCAATCAAAGTCACAGGGAAACCTGTATAGACTTTTCAACTTTCCAGCGGTTTGATATTTGTTCTCTTGGACTGTGGTTATGTTAAGAGCAATTTTCTATTTTTGTTCTTAACCATACCTGTAATTAGAACACCTATGTAGTAAAATGTTTCTTGAAAACACGGTTCCGGTGAATGTGTTAGGTATTACTTTAAATGTCAAATTTTAACATCTTGTGTTCACATTTTGGGTTCTCATGTGGGGGCCATAACAAGCAACTGCCATAATGAATTTTTAGTCACTAGTGTACAAAAAAAATAGTGTCGTACATTGTATATATATTTAAGGATGTTTTAGTGGTAGCTCACGCTATCAGCTGTTGGTATTCTGCTTTCTATATTATATTCTCTATCCAGTCATGTGATGTTTAGTTCTGGGCATGACATTTTCCTTTTCAAGATTTGACTTGAATCTGTCATTAGGTCCAATCAGGTTTTATGCTCGTGGATAGATCTTGATGATCTAAATTGTTCGGTCCTCAACTACAACCATGTGACCTAACTCTGCATGCATCATTATTTGAACCTGTTATTAGCTTCTCGTATTCTCTATCCAGTAACTAAGATATCCATGAGCAAGTCTGGATAATTCGCTCTCTTTCTCTCTTCTTTGCTCTGTCTGTCTGTCTCTCTCTCTCTCTCTATCTCTCGTCCTCTCGACCTTGTACAGAGAACATGTTTATTTTCAGGTTTCAAAGTTCGTTTCCAATGTCCTCCGATCGTTTGTCTGCATACTCGAGTGGTGCAGTCTTGAGGAGTCCTAAGCAGAACAAGCATTCACAAGTTGATATGATTCTTAAGGTATGTTTTTATTTGCTAGTAATAATTACCTGGAATTATTTTTTCTTCCCGGTGATGAATTTTTTTTTATGGACTCCAATTTATTGCGTTTGGATCTTTGTTTCCGTTCCTTGGAAACTTTCTCTCTTGGTTTACTATGTGATTTCAGTGCCTCTTGCATATTTCTCTTGGTTGATAATTTGATATAATTTCCATTCCTTTCGCATATTTCTCTTGTGAGTGCATTATAATCTTGAGAACACATAGATTGGTTTTTGCTTTAGAAGAACAATACGTTTGTCAATTGATTGTTGGTAGCTCGAAGGATGCTCTGGTACTGCGCTTTTCGTATGCTGTCAAAGCTTTATTACCATTAATTAATTACAATTTTGTTAAAAAATGATGCACTTCTCAACAATGATCAGTGGACAGAACACCGATCCAATGATGAAAACCGTACCTCTTTTTGTTGAGCAGATTATTATTTAAAATAGAGTGCATGATTAGCGCACCCCGTTTAGGTTTTTGGATGGTCAAGTAGGGTAGATTTTTGTGCTTTCCAAATTGCAACCCATTATTGTGGATCCTAATTTTTTTCTTGGTTCAATAAGAAGTGGACTAGGATGAGTCCAATTAGGCAGGTCGGCCCATCTGGTCCTTTTAGTTTGAGAGAGTCAAACCAGTTAGGTGCAGGTTGGTTTAATCTCATTTCATATAGTTTGTAGGAATAGGATCCAGGGCCAGGCGTTTGAGAGATTGAATCTAAGAGGCCTCCCATCAAAAGTTAGGAGTTATGTGAAGATTTCACTTTAAATTTTACAAATTAATGAATCTCTCCAATAAATTTTAAAAAATAAAATATTGAATCTCTATCGTTAGCAGGATGGAGTAGTTGATTACAAAACAATCGTCAAGAAATTTTCCACTCTACCTACAAAGTATGCATGTTTGTCAATACTTGTGTGCAAATTTTAGTCCTAGTTCAATGCTATTTTGATTTTAAACAGCTAGGTGAAAACTAGTCTGATTAACTATTGGACCATATGATTTAGCTGTTCAGAGCAATTCAGTCAGAGTTGATAGGTCAAATCTGGGTAGGTTGGGGCACTCTTGGATTCTATTTAGTGGGCCAGGATTCACCACTAGGCCCCAACTCTATAGACTGGACAAATAAGAACTTACTAACCCATGAGCTTCTCTTTGTTTTGATACAAGGCACTTACATGCTTTGGATGCTCTAAAACGATATCCTAGTTGAAACTTGCTATCAGTGTGAGGTGACACATACCTTCCTTTGATTGTTTATATTGGTAGGTTGGTCGTGTACATATGCCGAGGTTCTGGCTTTTTTGATGTTGTTTTAATTAGTTGCTCTTTAGGTTTTCATTTCATTTTCTTCTTGAAAACAAAAGCTCTAGACATATAGTGCATGTGCTGTATCAAGTTATTTTACTGTACCAAATAAACTAGGTAATGGTAGCTGCATACTCTAAAATTTAAACGATGCCTAGTTAATTTGTTAGAGAAGGTAATTAGTTTTATCCTCAAGTTATCATAACATTAATTGCATGCAGTCATTCTAGCAAGATCAGAGATAAGAGAGAGAATGATGCCTCATTGTATGTAGCTCAAATATCATAATTAGAATGAAAAACAAGTCTAATTAGAAGATATTCAGTTAGTGAATCTAGTTTTGTTAAATATACTTCAGAGCTCTAAGCATATAAAATTCCACTTGATCGAACTAGGTCTGGGATGCCGTGTAGATACATATTGAACTTATTGTCTATAAATTGCATATGGACTTATCAAGCAAAATGCACAAGTGAGATCCTATACCATGTAATATGAAATCCAAGTTAAATTAAATATCATAATGAGTCATGAACATCCGATTCAAGGCTAGTTTTTCTTGCAAAACAGGTAGGAGTACTCTTTTTTAAGTTCGAATCGTATAAGTAATATTCTTAGTAACTCAACGAGCAAAAGAAGACAAGTGCACGGATGACGCATAGCATAAAATAGTTGGATGGCAGTTTTAAATATCACATTGCAAGATTCTGCATGCATGCCTTAATTAAGTTTGTGATTTCTCAGTGAAGAGAATATGACACTAATTTGTATATCAACTTGCATGATTAAAATAGATTAGAGGGAGGTGTCGCTAGGGCTAGGGATCCAAAATACATGCCCTGAAGATGAGTTTCATATAAATAGAGCTATATATATATATATATAGATATATATGACTTGGTTTCTGGTGAATAAACGCGTCAAGGATAATTATTGGCTCATCGTGATTTGGTAAGTGAAGGTTGCTATTCTAGGGACCCCTCTAATTTTCTTTTTATATATGTAGGGCTTTTAAAAGTAAATGGAGAATATCACTTTTCAACACTACTAGCTAGGCATTATTCTTTGTTCATCTGTTGTATTTGAATTTGTTATGTTTAATATACAGCCTGGCCGAACGCGGGTTGGTTGTGCATAGAGCCAAGAGGGTTCTACAATTTTTTTTTTTTTTTTAAATGATTTTTCTAGTTTCTCTTTAGTGTCCAGATTAAAATTGTCTGTTTGATACATTTCCATTTGTGTTTGCTTGAATTTATTTTATTTTATTTATTTTTTATGATATAGTATTCTTAGATCATGTTTATCTTGGCTGGAAAATTACTTTTATAAGGTTTTATTTCCGTAATACGAAAGAACATCTACTAATTACCCAGCAGTAATTTTCCACCTGAAATATGCAACTAAACTTAGCTTAAGTTCTTGTTTCATTGCCAAGTAAGTTAGCTGGGAAGGTGGACTAGCTAGCTTCCTTCCATAGTTCTATATATATATATGTGTGTGTATATATACTTGATGTACTTATGGCATAAAAATATAATAATATAGTGAAACATGAATTTTCCTACTTCACAATATTTGTCTGATTTGAAAAATAACAATCAACTTCTTACTTTTGATGTCCCACGATTCTGCTAGTTTAGAATCTAAAATTAAAGAAAAACAGGAGTCGCTAAGTTAAAAGAGAGATAACTCAAAATTCCAGCCACAGCCGACTGCTGTACCACTGAGCTATTGAGAAAGAACTCCCTTAAGAAAGAAAGCCGACTCTCCTTCTTTTCCTAAAACTTGATATTTTGCTCCTATGTAGGGTTCCAAAAACTTGTAGTAGTACTGGCAATAAATCAATCGAAAAATTAGGGTAACCGAATCAGTCGACTGTCCTATTTAGTTCTATCATATGTATAATTTTGGATTTTTGATTTGGTCTGGTTAACAATATTCATGTTTTGCGATCCAAGTATCCAAATCATAATCTTGATGCTACAGCTCAAGCACTCAATAGAAAACTAATTAACTTAATGCCATATAACTAGTTTGAATCAATTTTTTTGTAGGTTTAATTTGTTGATTAGTTACCTAGCTAGCTACAACAAATTGAAATTAAATGCATGCTAGTAATAGAAAATTAATGATCCATTATTTTTTTTATAGATAGCTTTAGTTTATGTTAATTAAGAAAACAAAAGTTATCTTTAAAACGGTAATGAAGAGTATTCCTTTTCTCCTAATTATGCTCTCTGTGTAACAATTTCTGATGTTTTATTTAAAACGTCAAGTCTGTGATATTCGATATACAACAACTATGATTAGGTTTATGTTTGGGAACTTATTTTTAGATATTATTGTTTTTATTGATTTGTTCTTAATTTGCTCTTCTTTTTTTTTTATTAGAATTACATCCAATTTGTTTATAAATATTTTTTAAGCAAAAATTACATAAAAATTGATGAGTTTTAGGTTTACCTTTTCTATATTGTTATCAGGATGCGGCTAAATTTAAACATGGACATCTCTACTTTTACATCTTCATTTTAATTTGAACCGTATTTTGATCTTTTTTTTTTTAAAAGTAAAATTACCTCTTTTCTTTCTTCATATCCTTTAGTACTTAATCTTTTGTTATTTATTTTATCAGAGATAGACTACACATCAAACCGTTCTCTTTTTACAATATTTCAAAAGCAGAAAAAATTATACAGAATCCTTTTGAGTACGAATTTGTCAAATAATAATAATAATAATAATAAATTTTAGATTGAGATGGTTTTCTTAAAATATAATGGAAAAATGACCATTGGATATTCACTTTTTATTTCAAGGATAATTAAATTGGTCTCCAACATATTAATTCCCACATATCTGCAATAAACCTATCCATATTCTATAGAAACATAAAAAGCTTCGAATTGTCTGCAAGAATTATATATATATATATATTTTTTTTTTTCCTCAACTGAGATCCTTAATTATGCCAAAACTGATACTATCTAGCTTTAAATGGATAATTATTTGAGAAAGCATCTTTGCGTTTAAAAATCTTAATCGTCATGAAAAAAAACCTAATATGTTTTGATCACATAACTACTAAGTTGTAAAGGCCAACAGATCCTTAAGTTGGCGACAAGTTTTTTGTGGTGTTCTCTGACCCTAATTGCCTTGTCGTCAAAAGTTGATGGAAAGATGTAATTAATCAGACCATATAGCTAGCTAGCTAAGCTAGGGTAAATCAATTAATGAGATGATTGTCCAATTATTCTTCAAATTTTAGCTGATAATTAATTAACATAATAATTAACCAAACTATCAGTCTCATTGTCTTTCATTGTCCTTAGCTGTATATGTGATGTCATTGTCTATTGAAGTTAAGCCAACAAATTAAGACATGGTAGTTGATGGGCCAAAAACAATGATAAAGGTAGCATATACAACAAACTTGCTATAGTTAAATTAAATATTTCCCTAGCTATAACAAAACAATCCTTCAAATTAAATGATGATGATTGCTTATATATCAATTCATACATATATCATATTCCTAACCCATAGTGCTGGCCATAACGGTTGAGAAAACGAGTAGCTAGATGCTATGTGATAGCAATACGAGCAAGGTGTAATTAAGAAGATTTGGGCATAGCTTAATTATAAATTCAATTAACGGCCCTCAAGTCTTAGTGTCATGTCAGAAGTTATATAATCTAGTTAATTTCTTATAAAATAAGCCCTAAATTAATCTATGGTCGCCATTTGGGCACTTTGTTCAGACCAATGGGGTAAATGACTTGAGTTCCATAGTAGAACATTAAAGATATGATGAAATTAGCATAGATATATTTTTCATAAGTACCCCACATCAAATTGTTTTTTGTTTTGTAGTTATTAGGGTTGTTAGGCCATGAATAGTTGAAAAGAGTTGAAGTTGGTGTTTGATGCATGCCCACAAATACTATTCACGTGTACTATACGTAATACAAGTCTTTCTAATATATAATTAACTGTTTCTTCTGTCCTTTCTGCTTGTTTTTTCTTTAATCAAGTGCTTAATGATGCTTAAAGTAAGTGTCATTGTCGACAGTCGGAGAAATAACCTCACTAGTCCAAACCGATATATGTATCTTACCTAGCTTGTTTATTCATGATTAGAGACAATTTATAATTAAAACCCTTAAATTACATCCATTTTTCCCTCTAACTAACTAATACAGATGACTGTGTAATAAGTCTATGGGTTATCTGAGGAAGCCACATGTATTATTATTAGATTGAAAATGCTGGACCCTTATACTTATGGTGGCTTTCGATGGAAACTCCAAGGGGCCCTTTCAGTCAATCTACCTATATGTCAAAGCCAAATACGTTGTTTTGAGGGGCTATTTAGAACTAATCAAAGCTAGCTAGCTAGCCAAATATATATCTAGCTGCAGCTTGCAAGTGGTGCTTGTTGTCCAATATTAGATTTAAGTCAATTTGTTGGAGTTCTAAAACAACATGTATCGCGAGCCCATAATCTTTCTTCACTGTTTATTATATGTTTTGCTTCTCAAAGAGAATGCGTGAAAAGCAAGAATGGTGCTTGAAATGTTTAAGGAAAACTGAATTAAACAAAGACGAGCGACTTCTCGTGGTCTCTCTCGACTGTTCGAATCAAGAACCAACTAGGCGTCCTTTATATTCTATTTGTGATTCTATGTGTATTATATGTTGAGTCTCGTATATGTACTTAATCCCATTGATATACAGTAGGGTTGCTTTCCTTCTGCATGGAAATGGAGCAACAGCAAACCCTATACGTGGCAGGGGAAGCGTAGAAAGTCCGAGTTTAGATGTATTGGGTAGAAACTTAACAGAGCAAGCAATTTAGTTGTTTAGCTGACACAACAATGATATTTTCTAATCATAATTAAAAATAATTACTAACTTTAGGTGACATCACTTACCTCTAAATTCTATATTAAACCTGCCTCTTTTCAATGCGAGGAGGGTGGTCCATCCGACAAGGAACCCTATTTGAAGAAGCAATCTCTCTTTCTTTCTCTCTCTCTCTCTCTCTGCGAAAAAAATCTTTTAACTAGCTTTCGTGAAGAAGGTGGAAATAGTGCACCTTTGATTTTCTCTCTTGAAATCCAAGATGGAGAATTTTTTGATTTCTTTTAGTAGCGAGTAAAACTTGCCGACAGTAATACATACAAGTAAAAGAAAAAATGGGAATGGAAAAGAAAATTTAATGAATTCTAACTTCTCGTCCTGTTGCTTTGACTCTATGTGGCCATTGATTTGATGCTTTAATTTGAACGTGTTAGTTTAGTTTTTCTTTTTCAATTTATTTAAAGAGAACGTGTTTAGGTTAAAAGAACTCACTTAGTTATGATATAATATTCTTTTTGAGATTTCTTCTTTTTAATTATTTTTGAGAAATATACAATCTTAAGCTGATCGACAGACATAGACACAAAAGGTTGATAATAATGCTAACAGGAAGTGGAAAAACCACCATAGGCAAGGAAATTATGAATTCCGAATAAAAGATGCTATATATATATATATAAAATTAATTAATTATTTAGTCATATACTTACTGAGAGCAAAAAAAAAGAAAAAAACATATTTATTTACATAAAATACTTTCAATTCGGAGGTTTTTGTACCGAATTGTTTCCCATTAACATATATATTGATACCAACAATATTATCCTTGATTTATCCAGAGAGAGAGAGAGAGAGAACAGAAAAGCCTGCGGGGAGGGTGATGTTGCATGAAATTAACTGCATATTTTGAGGTCCTACATATTCTTCAGTTATTATATATTTTTTGACTGGATCCATACATATATAGGAACTCCTTTAATTTTCCACTCTTGAAAAGGAAATCAAGGTTAAATCTCTTTGTTTATGATACAGGACAAGGAAGAGAAGGACAAAGGCATCGACAAATGCCATTGACGCATTCTCACCGATCAGGGTTAAACTTAAAGGAGAACATCTTTTAGGTTTCTAAAAGATGGCGGAAATTCAGTGTTTGCTGCACCAACTTCTCCTCTAACTAGCTCCCTCAATGGTCAAATGGGTCATGTCTTTTTCATCATCATGTCCCTATCTCTGAGAGTAAGTTTTATGATTAAACCTAAGTATTTTGACAACAATTCATGCACATTTAGATACATAATCACACAGATAAATTCCTTTTTTTTTTTTTCTCTCTTCAAGGAGTATTATAGGTAAAGGATTTCATGTAACAAAGTCTAAATCCCTGACTAATTAATTGACTGTTAAACAAATCATCTGTATTCGGATTGCAATGCATTCATAATTAAGAATTATTTTCTAGCAATTTCTTTAGGATTTGAATTCTAAATAATTTTACGAGAAAACAATCCACTTACCAGCCAAAACTAAAACTTAATTAGAATTCAAATGCGCACAATACAAATATGAAATATATCTGCATGCATGCATGCTTGTAGTCTTCTTTAATTAGTTCTTTTCCAAATCATATGGAGAGTATAATTATGCATGGAAACCCTAAGTTCCACTTATAATAGAAAGATTAATAAATAATTAATTTAGACAATTATGAAATGGAGGCAGAGGTGGGGAGAGGGAGAGGGAAAGGTGGCCTATTAGCAATGTGGTTGGTTAGAATGCAAAATCATCAAGCACACGTGGAAAGCTGGAACAAGATCCCACTGAGTACGTACTCAACTCAAGAGATACATAAGGCAGTGAAGGACAATACTAGCTAATTATCGTATGGCCTACATTACATCAGGCAATACATAAAATCTAATCAACTTGTCACCACCTTTATTAGGAAATTGCTGCTATTGTTGGTTTCATTTTTTTAGTAATGTTACATAGATTCACTCATTATATATATTCACTTATTTTGTGCTACGGGACATGAATGTCGACATGGTAGAGGTTCCAATGACTTGGATCAGGAAGCAATCAATACTTAGGAAATTATTATACTTCATCCACTAACACGAATGTGTAATTAATTTATAGATCATTATTATAGGCCTAATAATTTCTAAATAGAAGGTGGCTATAGCTATATAACTTCATGATTCACTGGCTTGTTTAATCTTTTGATCTCCAACCCAAGTTAAGGTTTTTGGTTTTAATAATTAGGGTCCTCGAACTAGCTTTTTTCTTTTAAATTAGTTATCTATATTCAGATTGGTGCAATTATAAAAAGAAAGATACATAATTTTGCAGCTTATATATATATATATATATATCTGACCATTTTTTTTTACTATAATTCACACATCCAAAATTTATAGTAGAATTAGTCTATTAAAATTTGAACTGTAACTTTTTACAAGTTAGACTACAAGATCTTTGGTTATAATATCGAACCTTAGATAATAATGTTGAGAGCATAATCACCTACTAATTAAGTTAAGTTTCGAAAAATATTTAAATTTATGTATGTATCAATTTTTTTTATTTTATTTGGTATTAATCGTAGTATAAAAATGTATTAGGTTTGGACATTACCGCGTTTTGTTCAATTTAAGCAAAAAGGAGTTTGATTATATTCTCCTTGTCCCAGCAGACCTCCCGAACTTTCCTCATGAGGTCGGCTATGGTGAAACTAAATAGATTGCCATCATGTAAGAATATTATACGTACGTAATGTTTGCTTTAAATTTATGGAAGATAAGGTAAACATAGCTTGTGATCCTTTCTTTCATTATATATATATATATATATATATATATATATATATATATATATATATATATATGTGGAGAGTTCAGATTTTGAAGTCGTTTGATTATTTGTTAATGTATTTAATTTGCTAAGTCATCTTCCCTTGCAGTCTTTTCATGACGAGTTCGATGTAATGTTTTTGAGAATCTTCCTTAGATATTCATTAAATAGTTTGAATGCCTATTTCCGGAGCTCTTTTGGCCTTTTTCTTGATGATTTACAGTATTCTTTCTTTGATTGCAATGTTTTCCTTTTTTTTTTTTTTTTTTTTAAACCAAACCTTTGATCTCTTCAATGATTTTTCTTATCGTGATACCATATTATGATTGGTAAACCGTAATCAATCATACATCGTTGCTTATGCAGAGATATGGAACCCAATTTGAGGTTGGCCCTAGTGACATGCATGGTGTTACTTCAAGTTATCGTTTATTGAGAGAATGAATAATTCGTAAATTACTTTAAACAAAATAAACGTTCAGTAATAAATACGTTTTCAGAATTTAATATAATGAACATTATATATATTTCTCATAATGTGGTAATTAATGGCATAAAAAAGGGAGTTTCCTCCAATTAATTTTTGGGATGGCTAATTTGTACTTAAAAGCTGGCCAGAAATTTCAGAAACTGATCATGAGGCCCCATTTTCGTATATATATTGATCAATATATAGTTGGATTTTATAATATATAATGCATGATACTTAATAAAATATATTGCGTAAACAAAATTTATAGTAAGCTAGAGATGCCAATGCCATGCACTGGGTGACGAAATAGGCAGCTTTGTTGCGTGCATGAAATGCTCTTCTATACTCTGACCATCGAAGACGTGCCATCTGTACCCCTCCCTGGTGCTGACCTCTTTCTTAATTTTAGTCCTTCAAATTTAATTTGTTTTTGATTGCCATTAATTATGGTCTTTTTCGTTTAATCATTTATTGGATCTCAAAATTGCCCTCAGCATTTTGAAGTATAAAGAATAGAAGCCTATTCATTCCATGCACACGACAACGACGGACTTAAACTTTAGAATGAATCTTCTTTCTATCATATATATGAATCAATTAATTTTTGAAAACAACCTATATTTTTCAGACATATGGACCAAAATGCATATGGAAAAAATAATGATGAGAATATCCCATAACTTTCTAGTACTAGATATTAATTAATAATTATTGGATACATTAATTAAACAGGTTTCCTCTCCAAACATTAATTGTCTTTTTTATCTACATTAAAATCAGTTAGTAATTTATTTCTTCATTTTTCCCTGCAGATTTATCAATATTCTACTTGCTATCCCTAGCTATATATAATTTAAAATTTCTCAATATTTTTTTTGTGGTTTCAAAAAAGTTTCAATAATATTGTCCACTACTCGTTAGAATTTCGCTAAATAACAACAAAAATTAACGATTGACATATGTTTGTTATTGAATTTAAAATAAATAACAATGAAATAAAGATGGAATAACAATTGTTTATTAGTAATGGACACTAATCGATCGCTAAATTTGATAATAGAATCTTTTCATAAGTTTTAGAGATGATTTAATTACGAATTTATTAAGAAAAATAACGATAGAATAGCAAATCCGTCACTATTTTCACTATCATAATTTAGCAATAGATATTCTGTTGCTATTTAATGAAATTATGGTAATACATGATTATTGTTATTTAGCTAACAAATTAAATCTAATGGAAAGCTCACTTTTTTCATCGTTTTCTTTTATTTTTCCTTATTCTTTTCTCTCAAATCCCCATATATATATATATGATAATATTGTATAAGAACGCTTAAAAGATTAAGGAAAAAAAACCTAAAACAATAATTAAAATTGGGATATCATTAGCTATTAAATGGTCGAGGATAATTAAATTTTGTAAAAAATTTAAAGGCAGCCTTGAAAATTTTAAACTATAAAATTATAAAAATGGAACAATATATAATATTATCGATGAATCTAGCTAGAGGGAAAAGAGTGAAATTTACCCTTCTCATCTTTCATAGTCATACTATAACATTTGTAAAAATATGTGTTGATCTTATCATATTTGAATGTTTGAACGAAAAAAGATGATCTTGCATGGTAATTGCTCAATGTTTTCTTTAATTAGTCGGAATGGAAGAAAGGCTATTAATTTACTGCCCTTCCACGACCACGAGCTGTCTTGATTATTGAACCATCTTTGATTGGTTGGCTGCTCAAAATTTTATAGCCAAATATTGATTAAATAACCACCTGGAGGGAGGAGACATAAAGGGCAAAGTTGACCTTTCAAGAAGAAAAAAAGGTTATTGTTGTTTTGCTTAGCAAATGAGAGGCGACCACATCAACCTTGCTTTTTGGGCTCTATCGGGGTGACAAGAAACATAGAACGCATATAAATAGGAAGCCTGCAGTTAATGGTTGGATCTAAGGGAGGCAGCAAAATCTTAAGGGAAAAACATAGGATACAGTACCGTCTTCTTATATCGAAAATGGGCAGGTCTCCTTGTTGCGACGAGAGTGGCCTCAAGAAAGGTCCTTGGACCCCTGAAGAAGATCAAAAACTTGTCAAATATATCCAAAAGCATGGCCATGGAAGCTGGAGAGCCCTCCCTAAACTTGCTGGTACCAATTTCTTTCTATCGCACAACTCCATCCCTATCATATCTCTCTCTCTCTCTCTCTCTGTCTCTAACAAGTAGTTTATTTTTGCAGGTCTTAATAGATGTGGAAAGAGTTGCAGGTTAAGGTGGACGAACTATTTAAGGCCGGACATCAAAAGAGGGAAATTTTCCCAAGAAGAAGAACAAACAATTCTAAATCTCCATTCCGTCCTTGGCAACAAGTAACTAGTTTAACTATCTTTTTTTTTTAATTATTTAATTATTGTATTGTTCATGTTATGCTTATTTCCACATTCTTTTGCTTGCTGCTTTCTAGATGGTCTGCAATTGCAACCCACCTACCAGGCCGGACCGATAATGAAATAAAAAATTTCTGGAATACCCACCTGAAGAAAAAACTCATCCAAATGGGTTTTGATCCCATGACTCACAGACCTCGAACCGATATCTTCTCAAGCTTGCCACATCTTATAGCTTTAGCTAACCTGAAGGAACTCATGGATCACCATTCATTGGAAGAGCATGCTCTAAGACTACAAACAGAAGCTGCTCAAATGGCAAAACTTCAATATCTGCAATATCTCCTTCAACCTCAAGCTCCTGCAGCTTCTAATATGGCAACAAGCTCAAACAACCTAAACACTATCGGTACTTTTAGTGACATGGAGGCTTTTAATCTTTTGAATTCACTTTCTTCAATCAAGGATAGCCCAGTGTCAAGTTTATCTCAGTTGGATTTATCAGCATCCTCTCTTCAAGGGATCAATGATTCAATCTCCTTCTCTCATTTACCTGACCTACAAATCCCTTGCAACTATCAAACACCACCAAACAAGGACATGGTCCAAGCTCCTGAGTTGACAGTGTTTAGTCAAGGAGAGGACTCACCCAATTCTCCATGGCAGCTTCCTTCCTCTTCAACTCCATCTCCTCCTTCAGTAGTTCCTCCTGTAGCGCAGACTTCAAGCATGATCAACAACTTGGGAGATGCCTCTAGTGCTTCAAGCTATGGAGGAGAAGCTCCTTTAGCATGGCACGACCTCCTCGAAGACCCCTTGTTTCATGATATTGCTTAGCTTAATTTTTCATATCTGTGTGAAAGGTTTGGAGTTTCACCACTACTTCACTGTGTAATATCACAACCTATATATATATATATATATACTGTTCATAGCTATATGTATACATTAGCACATTGCACTCATCATGGTAGATAGATTGCATGCATGTTTTTTTAATCTAAGTTGGAACTGTTTATCTTCGTGGAGTGTTAACAACTAATTATATGCAATTGAGAGACTGATTTTCTTTTCTGGTTTAACTGCCATTTGTTTCAGTGAACAAATTTCTATAGCTTTCACAAGCTAGCTAACATACAGCAATAATGTTGCATGAATGACCAGTGATCTTCTTGGCAGGTAGGTTATGATAATTAATATTTATTTCATGCATCTAGCTATTCTATTAATTAAAGACTTAATTACTTCAAACACTGGATTCTACATTGCTTTGTCTTATGAAACAGCGAAGGTGTTTTTCTTTATGTCTGGAAACGTGTTGACATAGCTATTATGCATCAAATAATTGTCTTGAAGGTGCATAGAACTTTTCCTCGTTTTCATTTTAAAAAAACCTTGGAATCTTAGAAGAAGCATATACATATAATATATTTTATAAATATAACATATTATACCAAGGTTTCAACTCTCCATTTCTCATATTCGTGTGTTGTCTTTGCAAGTAATTAACTGACAGAAGTCTGAAGAAAATAACAGAAAACCAAGAAAAATAATCACTTTCTTAAATAATAAGTTGCAGCCCAATAATTTGTAGAGTTATGCTGATCGGAAGTCGTGCTGTTCACACATGAGAAAAAGGTTTTTGGTCTGCAGTTTCTTTGGTAATTAACGTGTCTTATATATATATATATATATATATATATATTAAAGTCATGTAATTGACCAAACTTTTGATCTGCTCTAGCCAACCACTCTAAAGGAAGTGGCTACAAACTCCATGTCTATATATCACTATCTTGTTCCTCTTTAAAAAATGGCTTTTATATAGCAGTGGAAGATACTGCATGAGATTTTGTGTTCAATAAAATTTTCTTAAGAGAGAGAGAGAGAGAGAGAGAGTTGACCAAAGCTTCCATGTCAAAAAAATGACGTACAAGGATCCTTCAATGATAAGGAGGGGCCCGAGGTAGTTAGGAAATATAAAAAGCTAGAATTTTGTGACCAGCAATGAAAATGGACTGATTGGTGCTACGACTAATCTAACCCAAGAATGCATGAGTTTTGTTCAGCTTTCAAAATCTTGCCTGGATAGCATCACCGTTTGATGGTTGTTGCTTGACTTAGAGTTAGAGTTAAAAGTCAAGTTTTCCTTTTCCTTTTGTTGCGATATAAATATTCAAGTACGCATGCTCTAATGTTACTTCTACCGTTGTAGGCTCGTGTATGCATTGATATTCCTACCCTAGGTAATTCATAAAATTAGAAGAGGACACCTCTAGTTTAGTTATAGTTTAATATATATATTTCTATCAACCGTTCAATTTAAAAGGTTATGGACATGTTTCTCAAGAGGGATTGAAGAAAAAAATAAATTAATGAGCTGGGATCAATGAGAAGTGAAGGATTTATGTTTATTTTCTTTGATAAGAAAGATGAAAACCCATGGAAAAAGGATTGAAAAGATCTTTCCATCCTTCTAATCTTTCTTTGCTTGTAATTATTGATTCTTCCAATTTTGAATTTTATCTGTTCTTCTCCCAATAAGTTTATATTATATTATCTGACATATTTGTTCAAGTAAATTTTTCTTTTTGGAAGGATTGAAACTTGAATCCACCCATGTTGCCACTCTAAGGCAGTAAAAAAAGTTTTACAAATAAAAATATGTGGTTATATATATTTTTTTCTTTTGATTTTTTTTAGGAATTACGGTTCATTATGTTATTGAATAAAATAAATAAATAAAAATTGTCTCAAAGTCTGGTAAAAAAACTTCATTACTCTGGGATTACCTATCTCTTGGTGCAACATCCATTTAATTTAAACTCAACCATATGGATAGATTGACAATCATATGAATGCTGCTATGATTTTCATTTTTATTAATTTTCATGTGTTGTATCTATTTTTCTAAAGGGTGCCCTTATAGTCGTATAAATGAATCATTCTATAATTAAGATGACTATAATTAACCGGATGGATCTGAAAATAGTTCACTATCTGTATCATTGAATTTTAAATAATATTGTTCCATAAGATGACACGTTGTGTACCATAATGGAAAAAAAAATCATAAAAAATGTCAAAAGTATATTTGTGTTGGCTTATAACAGACTTGGAATGTAACTTCGATGTCAAGAAAATTTTTGAGTTAGCCAAAAAAATTTATGCGAAATTGTGATAAAGAGATTTTTTGACAGTTTAGATGGCTACAGAATCATTATTGTCAAAAATTTAGAAGTTTGAGTTATTAGGTAAGGGATTAGAATACGAATTTGTTACTTTCTAACAATTGCCAGAGATAAAAATTTATCTACATAAACAAGAATGCAGATTAAAGTGGAACATAATTTGGTGTATGAAGAACAAAGAACACTTTGTCTATGATATACGAAATCTGACAGTAAATAGAGTAGAAGAAACTTTAGCAAATCAATTTTAAGAAGTTTTTAAAGCTACATAGTGACTTAAAGAGGGAACAAACAAGCTGGTTAGACTCTTTCTCTTGTGAATAAGTTGGAGAAATTTTTATGTAAACTTCTTCACCTAAGTTGCCATGAAGACATTTTGCACCCAAATCGACAAAAACTCCAATTCCTAACAACTAAAATGGGTAAAATCATCATGATAATCAATACCTTCAGTTTAAGTATTCCCTTTGACACACATGTTCTCACATCATAATAAAATTAAGCTTAAAATTTTTGGTGTTCTTTTTTTAATTTATACAAACAACGTAAGTTACAAGATTTGTGAAAAATAAATAAAGAAGAAAATATAAAAATGTCCTTATGAATGCAAAGTTTTTTTTTTTTTCAGTGGTATCTTGTTGTATTTATATGCAAAGTTCAATAAAATACAAAAAATACTATACAACAAAAAAATATCACAATGCTTATAATACAGAAAATATAAGCAACTATGCAGGAAATTACAATATACAATATAGAAATATACTTATAACTTAATACATATTCTCAAACTAAGGAGGGTAAAGATTCTACACCAAGCTTGGAAGTAAGATGAAGAAACTTCAATAGCTAGAGGTTTAGTAAGAACATCAACAATTTGATCCTAAGATAAAATGAACTTGACATAAAGAAGACCTTTACTTACTTAATTCCAAACGAAATGTAAGTCATATAAGGATGAAATCGTGATTGATTGATAAATAAGTGGCACCAAAATTATCATACCAAAGAGTTGGTAGAGAGAGCAAGAGGTGTAATAGTTAGTTAAAAAAAAAAAATGAATCTAAAGCAATTGGGTATCGCCATCGACAAGCGCTTTATATTTTGCTTTAGTTAAGCGAGTGAAAAACAATTTGTTATTGACTAAACTTCTAAAAGACTAGATTGTTATCGAGAAAAATTATAGAAACACCCTTATATTTACGATCATTAAGACTACTAGTCCAATTAGCATCATTAAAGGCATGAACTTGAAGAGAGGAGTGTCTACTATGATGAAGACTATGTTAGAGATAACAAAGAAAGTGCTTAACAACCATCCAATGATTTTCAAAAAAAGAATATATAATCGACAAACTTTATTAATAGCAAAGTTAACATCAAGAAAAGTTTCAAATATGATCAAACACTAATAATTTGATGGTATTTGGAAGCCTTAAGAAAAGACTTGCTATTGTCAAGAAAAAGCTTGGTAGAAGTGGAGGTCGAAGTGGTCACGAGTTTACGTGTGGACATAGAAGCTCATGCAAAATGTCCTAAATATATTTATACTAGCAAAGAAGAAGATCTTGAGTAATAGATGCCTCTTTCACTTCAAGAAAGTAAGTAAGAAGACCAAAATCACTTAAGTAAATTTCAACAAGTAGTGCAATAAAAGTGGTAATTATGAGAGAAACTACCGAGTTGTAATAAGAATGTCATTAATGTAAACTATGGTGAAGACGAAAACCTTAGCATTAAGCGGGAAAAAAAGGTGAGTATCATTTTTAGAGCTCACAAATTCAAGGCGTAGGAAAAATTGATTGAGTCGGAGTACCGGACACGCAATGCCTATTTCAAACTATAAAGAGATTTATTTAACTTAAAATGTAAAAGGAGCACACGGGATGAACAAAATTAGGTGATTGTTTTATAAACACTTTTCAGTAAGAATGTCATTAAGAAATGCATCGTGAATGCCAAGCCGATGTAGTGATCATTGTTTGGAAATGACAATACTAAGAACAATGCGAATGATGACATACTTAATAACATGATTGAAAGTCTTAGTGTAATCCACACTTTTTTGTTGATAAAACTCATTAGCATTAAGTTTGGCCTTATAGCGCTAAAGAGAACCATCAACCTTTTTTTTAATATGACAAACCTAGTGACACCCAACAATATTCATGCAAAAACAATAAGAGTACTCCATGTATGAATAGCATATAAGATATCTATTTCACACTCATAGCATAATACCATTTAGAATAAAAGTTAGCCTATTTAAAAGAGGTTGGCTTATGATTTAAAAGAGTAGAAGGTCGAGAGTTAGAAGTTTTGGAGAAAGAAATAGTGTCGAGATGAGATAGACACGAGGGTAAAGAACCATGTTGTATGTACATTAAGAAAGAGTTGAATGAAGTGAGGACTATTGGATAGTGGCGATAAGAGGTTGTTGGATAGTGACGGAATGAGGTGATAGTTAAAATGCTAAAAAATCAACCACCAAGTTAAGGTCGGATGGCGAAGAAAGAAAGCCATACTTTGTGGGCCACTCGAGAGAACTAGTAGGAGAAATAAATTGAGTAGTAACAAAAATGATGATAATAGAAGTAGTGGGACCAAATGATGGAAAAAGAGTGAGCATAGGTTGCTGAGAGCTAG